TGGTACCAACTGCGGCTGAGCAACAATAGTTGCTCTCACGGCATTTTGCAACAATCGATTCAACTCTAGTGCCATAGAACCTTCACCCACTTCTACGGGTACAGGTGCTTCAACATTCTCTCTTCTTGGGGGAACAGCTCTTGGGGGAATCAAGTCCCTAAGAAGCATGTTCTCATCAACTGGCTCCACCGGATTGGAGCTAGAACTCTCACCAACATCGCCCCTTGTTGGCCTAGGGCCAACTTCTCTAGGTTCCTCACGCCGTGACATCGTGCTATAAAACGAGAAAACGATTCAGAAACATGACACTAAGACTGTGGACGACTCAACAAGAATTGATACCATACAACACTTAGCATGCAAGACTATGCAAGAAACATTTTAACATAAACAAGTAAGCAGTAAGCACATAGGCAGTTAAGCATGCTCATTTAAGTAAAATATCACGTAGCAAGTAGTCAAGTAAGCAACACAAACAACATTCCATGTGACCCTAAGTAGGCCTCTACCCGTCGTGCTAAAGGTTTTCGAACCTTTGCTCTGATACCAAATTTATAACGACTCAAAACTAATACTTTTTAAACAAAAAAATTCGGCATAACCTCCCCTAAAAATGGACCTACTGCAACCTGTTTAAATGCATAATTAACCTGTCATGTAACTAATTTCCGAATTCACGGCAACAAAAGATAATGATACAACCTACTAATCTAGACAATGCTTCAAGCTAGGATTATCCTTCCATTCATCAACAAGTTACATATCATCAAGTTCGCATCCCGTATGTCATCAAGTATCATAAGTGTATTACATGATCATGGTTCTTCAAAAGAAATTTACATCATTACACCTTTGGAATTTTACAAAAATGAGGGATGAACAAAGGAGTAGTCTATTACAAAATAACAAGGAAAATGCTCCTCTAGCAACTTTCAAAGTTGGGGTGGATTGTCGTCCACCGGTTCTTTTCCAAGACCTGAAAAAAAATATATATATATAGATATAGGGGTGAGTATATAGCTCAGTAGAGACACTTAAAACATAATTCTTGTGTCCTAGTGAATCCAATCAAAGCATAGGCCAATGGGAGATAGGGATCATACAACATAGGGGATCAAATACAACACACAAGTCAATTCCAAGTATAAACAATGCAATGCAATGAAATGAAATGCAATGCATGTCAATGACACTCCCCATTCTCATTCTCAAAATCATCACTTTCAAACGTTAATACAGCCCGCCCTTTGGTAACCCCGCCACGACACGGGAGGAGGATTGGCTAGTATCCCTGACCCTTGGTAACCCCGCGGCGTCATTATGGGGCCCAGCTAGCTTAACCACGGTAAGGCGACTTCCTAGTCCCCTCTAGGCTATATTAACCTCCGGCCCGTTGGTAACCCCGCAGCGACCGGGTTTATCAAAACCAATTTTTCCTAACACATCACCCAAAATTCCCATTTTTCTTTTCAAATACCAACATCCCTTCCTATGCAACCCAATAAAATGTATGTATCTTACATGATGTCAATACAATGATAAATGGGAATTTAACACTCTACAACAAGTACCATTTCATATAACATTATAGCATGCTTGTAAAATAATAATCATGATAGAAACTCACTATATAAACATGCTATCCATTCAATCAAGTAACACATATTCACATAACATGGCATATTCTCAAATATCTCAGTTTAAACAAGAATCAAAGCAATCAAACATGCTGTAACACAATTAGAAGAGCATGATTCAATATGGAACAAGATTCCATGGCTTAAGATGTCCCTATCTCAAGATTGCACCAAAACCCTAGAAAATGGGTCCTCAAATTCGAGCTCCCAAAGAGGACCAAAAGCTGGAATTTCTGATACTGGCACGTAGGGCTCGTCGTGCTCGTCGTTTTGCCTCAAACGGCACCTAAATCCGGTAAGGATTGAGAGAGTAATCAAGGGTTAAAGCTTGAAGTGAAAAAAAAGAAAAAAGAAAAAAGAGAAGGAGTGGAGAGACAAACAGAGAGATGGACGCGAGAGAGAGAAGATGAGGTTATAGTGAAAAAAAAACATGATCTTAACATTTGTGGGTCCCACTTTTTTTTTTTTAATATTCCTTTTCTCTTTTTCTTTTTTTTCTTAATACACACCGCACACACAGACATATGTATATAAAGGCACAAACATTACAAAAAAACATATAACATTGTAACATAAACCAACTTTTTCTATAACTTATATTCTATCCTTGCGAATCTTTTATCTATGTTTCAAATTCTATATAATATCAAGTTTTTCCTTTACCAGATCAAAAGGAACTGAAGGGCCTTTGTAGCCAGCTACAACAAATAGGAGAAGGAAGTGTGTGAAAGACTCAAAGTGCACTTGAATTCAATTGTGATGCATTCTTAACCAGTAAAAATTGCTTGGTATCTTATTGTGTGTAGAATTATATCGATTTAGTAAATGAGTTTGGCATTGGGTGTTATTATTAGTGCTTTCGGTCTATATAACCAAAAAAAATTCTTCTGATAGGCTTTACTCGTGGAGGCAGAGAATAACATTGCAAACTAAATAAATTATGTGCTTATATATATACATAGATAGCATATGTATATACATGAGGTGTATAGAGACACACACATATATACCTTTATGTTTATGCAAAAATCAGCTATGACTTTAAACAAAATACAATAACAATTATAATATTGAAAAAGAGAGTAAAAATTAATCGCATAAGAGTAAATAATTGATTAATCAGATTATCTAACAAATCAAAATCTGAAATTAGACAATCCAGCAAACAGCATAAAGATTTCAATTTTAAAAACTCCAAAACCAAAAAGCCATCAACAAAAGATCTCATGTATCAAAAATCATCATATAATAATATCAAAAATAAAAGCCCTAGTCCAATGAAAAAATGCACAAAACAAGTAAAAACAACAACAAATCTAAGAACCTAACATGAGGCTTTCATTCAACAAAAAGGAGTAGATAATTGATTAATCGGATTTTATATCTAACAAATCAAAAATCTGAAATTCGACAATTCAGCAAACAGCATAAAGATTTCAATTTTGGAAATTCCAAAACCAAAAACCCTGAATTGATCAATGAAGGAGTCCATATATCAAAAATCATTATGTACTATTTCAAAAAGAAAAGTACTTGTCCGATATTCATTGGACAAAATACATAAAGCGAATATAAACAACAACAAATCTAACAAGAACTTAACATGGGGCTTTCCATTCAACAAAAAAATCATAATGGCACAAGACTTACAGATATCAAATTTGTAATGGAGAAAACAATCTGCAAACGAACGCGATCAGCTTTCAACAAACCCTAGAAATAGCTTCCTTCTAGAGTTCAAAGCGACGGAGGAGTGGCTATGGTGTAGGCGAGTTGTCTATGGTTTGAGGAGAGAGTGTGTGGTGTAGGAGAAAGAGAGAGGGATAGAGGAGGGCAGGGCTAAGGTCGAGCTCTGATCGGGATGCTGGGTGGTGGGGTTTGATCGAGAAATAGCAGCCGTTCTCTTCTTTCTCTCTGTCGCTGGTCGCGGTCTGTTGCTGCCGTTCTTTTTTCTCTTTCTCTCTGTTGCCCTACATAGGAACGAAATATCAGAAATAGCAAGTGCCATTTCTTGTGCTAGAATTGGCAAAAGAATCGGCAAAGTTAAAATTTGGCAAGCTAAATGACAGCTCATTGGAGAGTCCATTTGAAGCCCATCTGCTATATTTTACAAATAGCAGCCCATATAGCATTGGGTTGGAGATGCATTTAGCAAAAGCTTGGCAGTAGAAACTAAAATATGGCATGTGGAATTTGATATAAATGGAATTCTGCGGTTTATTTCTAAGGAGAAGCATGACATCATTAATTGTGTGAGAGAGAGATTTAATTGGTGAAGATATGAGAGAGGACCAAGAGTAAAAACTGAGTTTTTTTCCAATCAATTCGAGGGTTTGTGAACGCAAAAGTCTCACAATCCGAGGTTGGAGCGTTGGCAACAGTGCTTGAGAAGCCATCAACAACCTCTCCGATCCTCAATTTCGTTCCTAGTTTCTTGGTTCGGTGTACTTTGCTTCATTTTAAGCTCGAGACAACTCAAAAATTCTTAAAGTTTTTCAGTTGATTTTCTTGCTAAAATCCATGCATGCCATTCTAACTTTATTTTCTCATTATTTTTTATTGTTAATTAATCGGCCATAATTATGGTAAAAATTAAATAAAAAATACCTGATTAATCCCTCTCTAAAATAATTTTTAAAACTTAGATTTTCCACAATCTATTCCGGATGCACAACTCACACTATTTTCTCTTCTTCTTTTCCTTTTGATTAGTGAAATTAAAGAATTGTATAACATAAACAAGAATACAACCTGTGCAACACACCACCAACTACAATTAGTGCTGCAACTCGGGTGGGTTGGGCGGGCTTGGCATTCATCTCGGGTTACGCCCATATAACCTTAAGCCCGAGCCGAATTGCCTAAGTCCAATCCATACATAATTTGTCCAACTCGAGCCCACACTAAACCCACGTCAAAAGAATTTGTGTAAAAATAATAATTAATTAATGTTGCACCCATGACTTGAACCTGAAACTTTAAGAATGAATTCCAAGCACACTATCAATTTGGCTACTACACTCTTGTGATTTAAGTATAATTATAAATATATATAATATTTTCAGGTTCGGGTTGGGTTTCAGGCTTCATTCATATCAACCCAAGCCCGACCCGAATTGAATTCGGGCTCAAAATATATGGTCTAGGCCCAAATTGAAATTAGAAAAACATTACCCAAGCTCACAAAATTTCGGGCTGGGCTCGGGTTATTTTGAGTTGGACCTACCCGAGTTACACCCCTAACTACAATATTATTTAGACTGAATTAACAAGAATTGTACATGGTAAACATGAATACAACCATGGCAAACACATGCTATAAACAAGATACTACCACAGCAAATTAACACCACTAACAAAAGCTAGACAAAACTAGAATTTTACATCATAATCAAGAATACAACAACTGCGCGCGAACACGAGTACCAACAATATTGTAGACTGAACTGGCTAACCGTAGAAAACTTACCTAATTAAACGCAAGGTAGATCACATCTAAAGGATCAGGAACAGAGTGTAACATGAATATATATATATATATATATATATATAGTTGCATAAAGCTTAATTATAATAGACTGATAGAGGATCAAAACATGAATGAGTGTCCGAGTTATATCCTCATCAGTTGATCATGTTTGATGTGAAATTGAGCTAAAGCTGTTGCAGATTCTGTACAAACTTATCTATATAACCACTCATGAATCCTTGCCTTGTTAGGGTCTCCTTCCACTTTTGGTGGTTTTTCTTAACCATACCACCCTCTTCACTCTCTTTGTCCATCACGCACTTGATGGCCTTGCACAACTTCTCTCTTGAAAACAATCCATTTTCATCCCTCTCTACTTCCACTGCAACCTTCAGTTCTTGGGCCATTAACCTAGTATTCAAGATCTGGTCAGGCAAATGTGGTACAAGCACTATCTGATTATCACTCAACAAAGCCTCCCACATTGATCCAAAACCACAATGACTCACAAAACACCCAACTGATGGGTGACCCAATATTGCTGGTTGGTCTACCCACCCTCCATAAACCACTCCTCTCCCTGCTTTAACCCTCTCTTCAAAACCCTCCGGAAATGCTTCTTCCACTGATGTCAAACCGGAGGGCGGTTTTGCAACTACCAAAAATGGCAGTCCTGTTAACTCAAACCCCAAAATAATTTCCTGAAATTGGTCCTTTTCAAGGACCCATTGGCTTCCAAATGCGCAGAACACCACTGATCCTGGCTCGAACCCATCGAGCCACTTGCCCCACCCATCAACTTCCAGTTGTGTTTTTGCTGCTGGTTCAGCTGGCAATAAGACTGGTGGTTCAGCTGGCAATAAGACTGGTCCTGTCAGCAACATTGGCTTTCCGAATTGGCTTCCTATGTAGTCACACAAGTCCCCTTCTAGTTCTTGGCATGTCCTGATAGAGATTGCATTGCACTCTTTCAGGGCGGTTGTGACTCGGTCATAAAATGTTATGCCACTGCCAAACTCTTGCAATACAAATGAAAATACACCAACTTCAGATGCATTCAACAAGATTGTGGAAGACGGATATCCTGGTGGTGGATATTGTATGAACTCGGCAGCGTCTGATTCTGATAATGGCTTGTCCTTGTCCATGGGAACTAGTACTTTACATGCAATAGCCACTGAAGCTGCGGAAACAACACTGTAGCATACTGTTTTGGAGCCAATCTTGGATGCTATTGCCGGTATCCAATAAGCAAAGTCATAGAAAACAAAATGGGGTTTCAAAACGCGCAGCAATGCTTCGACTTGGTCACGCATTAGGTCCATGGCGGTGGCTAGATGACCATTCAAGGAAATGGGTATTTCCGAAGCCGTCTCGGTGCCGGGAGGAAGGCCTTGGACGTGTGGGACGGCCACGGCATGGAAGGTGATGAGATGAGGATGAAGAAGATTGGTGGAATGTTGCAAGTGAAGTTGAGCTTGTTTTGGCAACAAGAATGAGATGTTGTGGCCTCTTTCAGCAAGTTGGTTAGCTAGATGGAGGAATGGAGTGATGTGACCAAAGGCAAACCATGGAAACATAGCTATGTGAAACTTTGATGAGTCCATGGATTCCGCCATTTTTGTGGGAAAAAAAATCTGTAAGCAGAAACAGTGTTGTTTTTGCTCTAAAATTGTTGGTGTTTTAATAAGCCCCTTCACGGTTAGAGCGAGAAAAGAGCATTTATTACACACGGTTTCAAATCACAAATTTTAAGGCTTAAATGGACTAGTGGATAAGTGAGGTCTGGGTATAAATGAGTTGCTTTTTGCAGGTATTTAGAATCACAAATTTAAATGGTCAATGTTGAATTAGCCCTCTCCGTCTGTCTGCACCATAAATCCCAAAACCATCTATGGGTGGCAGGCATAACATATGCCATCAATGAATTGAAGTGAAATGTTTGTTAGTTCAATTGTGCCCACCAACGTATATACTTTATTACTTTCTAATTATTAATTTATTTTTTTATGAAATTAGCCTCATTTAGTGAAATGTTTGTTAGTTCCTTTTGACTCTTGTTCAATTGCGCCCACCTACCTATATACTTTATTACTTTCTAATTGTTAATTTATTTTTTATGAAATTAGCCTCATTTAATTCCCTAAATCCAAATTACTGTTGCAGTAGCCAAACATGTCAACACATCAAGTATACCTAGGAATTAAAGTACCTAGTTGATGAAGTGCCCAACCACCCCCGTACCTGTATGCTCGTGTTTGAGCTCCTCCCCTGCCAAGAAATATATATATATATATATAGAAAGAGAGAGAGAGAAGGAAATGATGAGGGTTGGGGTGGCCCATGCCAGACTCTACAATAGATGGTTTTGGCCCAAATTAGTTTCAGGCCAAATGTAGGATGTATGCAATGTTGTAATGGATCTGTCCTTGGAATGGGCCAGTGTCAGCCCAAGGTTGACTTAAACTTAGTTTCAAGCAAACAGATCAAATTGGGGTTGCCCAGCCCAGCCCACTGTAGAACAGCAATATGAGCCACTTGGGACCTCTTTAACAAACATTAAATAGTCCCTCTTTTGTTATTTTGCAATTTACCAACTCCTATAACCTTAGCTGTCACACAAAGAGAAGAAAAACCAATAACCTTTTCTGTTGCTTGTACATCATAAACAAGGGCTCCCCACATGGCAAGTATGCTGGCATTAGCTATTCATGCACCTCCAACCTTCCAAGCCATTAATCCAGCCCATATTCCTTAGTTGTTCCAATTAAATGCACACACATCTTATTTGAATACTCTCTCTGTCTCTCACACACACATAAACACACACAACACACAGATAACATCATCATCAATAATTTAATATAATCTTATCTCCACATCATATAATTAATTTGTAGCAATCTTAAAGCCACGTGATGTCTACACCCCACATGGGACTTCCCAACTGGGCTATTGACAAAATTTTTGCAGATAACAATATAAAAAGATCAGTACCAAAGAAGTCATGACTTCTTATTAAATTACTTGTTGGAGGTGAGAATTAAGTTGTGAAGCTATGGATCATATTATTGATGATGACCCTTTTGAGTCCTCTTCTACTGGTACCAGAGATGAAAAAGTAGAACCTGGTGAACTCTTGGAAGAGTCTTGGTTCTTTGGAAACTCTCTTGATAGAAAAACCAAGTTCTTGAGATGTTTCTCTGATCCTTGTCCTTCTTCCTCAAATTACAGCCAAGATACGCCTGTTAGAAGTTCATGTAGGGAAAACTCATCCAACAACAAACTCAAACTCTCCAAAGGCCATGCTTTGGTTAGTACACCATCGATGCCACCACCTTGTATGCCAAGGGAAGAAGAAGAAGTAATTCAAGAGAATGGAAGAGGTTGCAGTATGAGAAAATCCAACCTTCAATCACCGCGACAGCGACATAGGTTGGTTCGCGCACCATCTCTACCACCTTGTATAGGCAGGGTAGATGCATATGAAGATGCGGAAAGTGACTTCGCTTTGAGCAAATTAATCAGGCAAGCGTCGCTCAACAGTACTTCAGATGTCTTGCCACCACGAAACACTTCCAAGGTATGATCTGATCAAATAGTTTCTTGCTTGTGTTTTATAGCAAAGGTCTAAACTATGACTCTATGAGTTTGATGATAAAGAATAACACAAATTGAAATATATATGATTTGTATTTTTTATTCGCTATCTTATGATATTTAAACTTGGATTAATTGTAGGTCATGACACTAGGTTCAAACATTCCAATGCAACATCCTCGAAAGAAACCAGAGCGAGAAAGCATTAACACAGATGGTTGTAAGGAGATGAGGCCACGAAACCTTATAACTAATCAAATGAAGACGAGAAAAGGAGTTGGTGATCTTGAGTCTGAAGAAGTGCAAAGTTTTAGGGACATGGGTTTCACATTTGACAAAGGAGAATTAGACCCGAGTTTGGCGAACCGAATTCCTGGTTTTCAAGAGAAGAACACACAAGATTTTGATGAAGACAAGGTGAGGAGGCCTCATCTTTCTGAGGCAGGGTTAGTACAGAGCTCTGCCCCACCAATTCCAAATTGGGTTGACAAGAGTTCACCAAAAGACATGAAGACACAGATTAAGTTTTGGGCTAGAGCTGTGGCATCTAATGCGCATTAAGAGTGTTGATAACCTTTTGTGACATTGAAATAAGGGTGGGAGGCAATCATTTCCAGTAATCTATCCTTTTGTTCTTGTTTGTATTCCCTGCAATTCATTTTTTGTAATTCTCAATTGCTAAAACTTTATCTTGAAAGGTTACATATTTGGGACCAATGAGCTTTTAAACCGTAAGGGCGTTTTGTCCATGGTACAGGCACAATAGCAGGGATTCCAGGAACTGAATTGGAAGAATAGGGGAATTGTAGAAGAATAAAATTCATTATTTATGTGGCATTTTTTTATTTTTAATTTTTTATATAGCACATAATATTCTTTGGATATCTGTATAAAAGATATACTGAGCTGTAAAGGCTCCGTCTTGACATTTTGCTAAAGCTTGATTTTGTTGTCTATGTCATTTAGCAATTCAAAATGACTTCCCAAATAAATTTAAATAATTAAAGTTCTGTTTGGAAATATAATCGGATTTAGTTGCGTCGTTGATAGTGTTCCACATATCAATGAACAATTTGTCATCCAAAATATTTAGGCATTGAATCAACGCATTAGATTTGGAATGATAGCACAAAAATATTGTGACATGAATTACACAATGAAATCTCTTAAAATCTTTATACAAGAATATATATATATATATATATACACACACACAGAGACTTTGAAATATGATATTCAACAAAAAAAAGAAGATATTTTCTCATTCATTACATTTGGAGCAATCAGATTATTAGATTTGGAATGATATTGCTGATTCCGTCCTCATAGCACAAAAGTGTTTTGGGCTATAAATAACATAACGAAATTACTTAAAATATCCGTACAAGCATGTTAGATTAAATTTGAAATGATCTCGCTAATTCCGTCCTCATCGCACAAAATTGTTTTGTGATGTGAATAACATAATGAAATTTTTTCAAAATTTTCATACAAGTAAAAAAAAAAAAAAATTACTTTCAAAGATGATGTTCAACAAATGATATGAAGGCACCATATTTATAATTATATTTTATACGCATATGTATATATATATTTTTTAAAAATGCTTATTTTACATGGAGGATTAGAGGGACCACAAAATATATGCTCATGATATTATCAAAATATCTAAAATGAGAGAGCACATACTTGTGATAGAACTGAAAAACAGAATAGGGGAATTGTAGAAGAGTAAAATTCACTATTTATGTGGCATTTCTATTTTTCTGATTTTTTTTTTCTTTCTATAGTACATAATATTCTTTGGATATTTGTATAAAAGATGTACTGATGACTATATATAGTAAAGGCTCCTCCTTGACATTTTGCTAAACCTTGATTTTGTTGTTCATGGTATTTTTGCAAATCAAAATGACTTTTCAAATAAATTTAAATAATTAAAGCTCTGTTTGGAAAAAAATTTAGATGCGTCATTGAGTTCCACAAGCAAGTCACGCAACTTTAATTTCATCAACAATCATTTCAGGAAGTCCACATGTCAATCCCTACATGAACGACTTGACATCCAAAACATTTGAAACATCAGATCAGCTATTAGATTTAGAATGATAGCACAAAAATATTTTGTAACATGAATAACACAATAAAATCTCTTTAAATCTTTATACAAGAAAAAAAAAAATAATATTCAATAAAAATAAATTTTATCATTCATTACATTTGGAACAATCAACTTATTAGATTTGGAATGATAAATAACAAAATAAAATTATTTCAAATTTTCTTACAAACATGTTAGATTAAATTTGAAATGATTGATTCCTTCTTCATAGCACAAAATTGTTTTGTGATGTGAGTAACATAATGAAATTTATTTAAATTTTCATACAAGGAAAAACAAAAAAAAAAAAAAATTTACTTTCAAAGATGATATTCAACAAATGATATGAAGGCACCATATTCATAATTATATTTTATACGCATATATATATATAACTTATATATATAGAGTACTGATCTCTTACTTCTCGTGGAGTAAAAAAAATTTTTCGCACTTTGTATAGTAACCATTAGATTAAATCTAATAGTCACATTCTGAACCCACCTATAGCTTTCCTTTTAATACAAAACCACAATCATTATTTCTAGTTTCCAAATTTAATATTTACCAATATAATTAATTATAACAATAAAAGGTAAATGCTAAAAAAAATAAAAATAGAAATCTCTTCAGCTCTAGAAATCACGTCTCACCATTAATTGGAATTTTTTTTCTACAATTTATTTTTATAAGTTTTAGAAAATTGCATCAATGACTTGATACTAAAATTGATATTGTCTATTTGAGTGTAAAAAAAAAAAATTAAAAATTGAACTATTGACATACAGAACAATGAAACATCGACTAAAAAATAATAATTTTTTTTTATCTACTTGATCAACTTAATGTAATATGACTCATAAAAAATTTAATTGATTACAACTTAAATTATTATATACCTCCCTAAATGCATGCTATTTAAAAATTAGAAATTCAATCTATTTTTCTCTAACTCTTTGTCACAAATTCTAATTAGTTTGTAAACAAATCTCAATTACTCATCTGTCATAATAAATCGCACAATATATTTTTTCTAGTTAATAATATATTCTATGAAATTTTCTAGTTAATAATATATTATATGAAATTTCAGATTTTCTTTGTAAATTAGTTATTTTTCTTAATATTTTCTTTAATAATGCTATTATTATACTATCATTATTTTTATTTTTTTAGTACTTACCTTTTATAGTCATAATTAATTGTATTGACAAATATTAAATTTAAAAACTAGAAATAATGATAGTAATTTTGTATTAAAAGAAAAGTATATAAGTGGGTTTGGAATGTGACAATTAGATTAAATCTAATGGTCACTATAGAAAGTGTAGAAGAATTTTTTGGTTCTATGGGAGTAAGAAATCACTGCTCTATATATATATATATATATATATATTTAAAAAAATGCTTATTTTACACAGAGGATTAGAGGGACCACAATATATATGCCTATGATATTATCAAAATATCGAAAATGAGAGAGCATATACTTGTGATAGAACTGAAAAACAGAGCTCTACGCCTCAAACCCCTCTCCCCCTCTCTCTGAAATATCAATGTTGCAGTCTCTACACCTACTCTCCCCCAGCTTATCCTTCCCTCTCACCCATCCCCACAACCGCTCACTCTCTCCTCCCAACTTTTTCCACAGACCCATTACACTCCACACTCTCTCAGCCCACCTCCGAACCAGACCTGGACCATGGCTCGCCCAAGTCCCCGAACCCACCACAACTGCACCAGAGGACGGACCCATCGAACTTCCACCATCCACTCCATCCATTTTCGCCACCACCGACGACCCTACGCCTCTCCAAGTCGCCACCAGTGTTCTGCTTACCGGGGCCATCTCTGTCTTCCTCTTCCGCTCTCTCCGTCGCCGTGCAAGGCGAGCCAAAGAACTGGTACACCCCCCCAATATTTCTGTTTATATACAAGTATATATGTGTTGTTAAGCTTTAATTTGGCATTCAACGAAATGGGTATTGGTAGGATTAGAAATTAAGGTATATGTATCTAAATATGTAAATCTATTTGTGTTTTTAAGCTATAATTTGGTTTTTAATGAATTCGCTTTTGTGAATATCAATGTGTTTTGCTTAGGTTTATTTCGGTTTTTAATGAATTGGGTCTTGGTGGGATTAGAAGAATTAGAAATTGAAGTATATGTATGTATATATGTATTTCTGTGTGTTTTGTAAAGCTTTAATTTGGTTTTTAATAAATTGGGTATTGGTGGGATTAGCAATTTAGGTCTTCGGGAGCAAAGAAATCGTTGAAGGAGGAGGCAATTGATAGTTTGAAAGCTATGACACCGACAACAATCGATGGCAATGCCAAATCTCCTCCCTCGCCCATTCAGGCTTTCTTGGGTGGTATAACAGCTGGTGTCATCGCGCTTATTCTTTACAAGTTCACCACCACTATAGAGGCGTCCCTCGGTCGCCAGACACTTTCAGATAATTTCTCGGTTGGTTTCTGAATTCTTTGTTTTTGTTGAATCCATTTTTATGTTAAATGTGAGCACTTTGAAATGTAGAATTTGAAAGTATTTCATTTATCAATTGCTTTTTCTGCGCCTGCTGAATCCATTTTTTTGTCGAGAAACATTTTTTATAGTTTTGGCTCATATCAAGTAGCATTTCAGACTGTTTAGGCTTGTGTCAAGGAGCTCCATTTTTATGTCGAGAAGCATTTTTTATAGTTTAGGCTTGTATCAAGAAGCATTTCAGATTGTTTAGGCTTGTGTCAAGGAGCATTTTGAACAGTTTAAGCTCAACCATTTTAGATGGTTTAGTCTCGTATCAAGGAGCATTTCCAACATTATAAAATTTGAAAGTATTTCAGTCACACTAAAGGAAAACATGCCCCAACCCTTTTTCCATATTATGTGGACATAACAGAAGTGAAGTCTCATACTGTTTTGGTTATGCTCAACTGACACACACACAAATTAAATAAGAAGAAATGGTCTTCCTATATTAATGTGTGAAAAAATAAAACTCGAGGCAAGTTCTTTTTTTACATGAAATGTGGTGTCCTTGCTTATTTGAGGAGTGTTTAACTTGCTGAGTGAATTCCAATGGGTGGTGTGTTAACTTGTTGTGTTCCTCATCATGTAACTCAACTTTCTTTGTTTTCTTCCTTTCAGGTTCGCCAAATAACAATAACCATAAGGTGACCCCCGCAAGGCTTTGACTACTACCTTTCAGCATGCTGTACTCAACTTCTTTATAATATTCACAAAACTTTTTCACCTACTGTCTGCAGGACTATTATCAATGGGTTGTGCTATCTTGCAACATTTGTTTTCGGCATCAACTCCGTAGGTTTAGTCCTGTACTCAGGCCAGCTTGCCATCGACTCCTTCATGGGAGATTCTACAAGTGAAGAAACTCAGAGTATAGATGAAGCAAGATTAAATTCTACAAATCTGATAGCCAAGAGTCCCTCAGATAGCTCTGGAATGGACAGCAGTAATGGGGAACAAAGTTCAGATAATACACAGTAAGGTAAGATTCAAAAGGAACAGGTTTCAGTTCATCTGATCAATTTGTATTACACATATATCTTTTCAATATATATATCATGCAATTTTATAAACTGTCCTTTTCCTGGATGATAATGCACTTGCCCTATAAAAGTATTAGCTTAGTATAAATATATAAGATAGCTTGGATAAAAGCAACTTATACTTTTAGAGACCAGAAAATTTAAACAACCAACACCAGTAATTAGAAATTAGTTCTTCTCTCTGTGCAATCATGGAATTTATGATGTTCTTTGTCTGTGTGTCTACAATGTTTAGTGTATATCCCATTGTCAGTCTAGCTTATTTGTAGGGTTCATAACACGTGATATAGGAAGATTTGGTCAGTAAAATATAACATATTGACAAGTCCGGTTGCAGAATTCTAGATCAATCTAGAAACCAATCTGGTTCCCTTGTTCATTTTAATTAAACTGAGCGAATTGTTTCTTAAACTACTAAAAGTCCCATCTTATGTTAGCCATGTAGGAACTCTCATGGTTTTGTGCTACTTGCAAGCAAATTTGAAAATCCTAAACAGAAACTGCAAAACCAACATTAAAGTGATAATTCTGCATGCTTCTCCTATGAAACCAGCTTGCTGGTCATCAACATAGTGAAATTTATTTCTAGTTTCCGGCTGTGATCATTGTGGGCAGTGAGCAGCTATGTTCTGTTTTTACCCTGTGGTCTCTCATGGGCTTCAATTGCCCTCGTGATAGCAGTAATTTCCTGACCAATCTTTTGAAAAAGTTCTCCAGTTGGAGGTAGACTGAAACTCACGCAAGTGAGTCAGATTCGTGTGCACAACAGTCTGCCACCATAGTCACCAAAAAGACAACATTCAGATAGGAGCAAACGTTTACAGTAGGAAGGTGGTGGCAAAGTAGGGTGCAGCCAATTGACCATAAATAACTCTAATCACTGCCTTCTCAAAGTATCTCTCATGAATATGAGTGTATGTCATGAGCAAAACACCTTGTAGAATGCCGGTGATGAGGACATTTGGGCATGAGTTGCAACAACATTCTGCGCACCCATGGTTGTTACCTTGGGGTTGTTGATGCAAGGAATAATGTGCCAAAATGCTAATCTGAGGCAAGTGTAGTTTGAACAAGCAAAAGCCACCAGGAAGAGACATGTATTTGAGAGAGATGATGGCTAGGTTACTTTTAGTAAGACCACTTCCGATTAGAGAGATCAGAATGAGGGATACTGAGGACAGAAAAACTGACTGCGGACGTTGTGATGACCTTGTGGGCGGGTGTGCCGTGGGCGAGTGCAAGAGACACTGTCAGGCTATCACACTGGCGAGCTACGGGTGCACAAGTCCCACATCGCCTGGGTAGAGGAAAGGTGAAGTGCTTATATGTAAGTGTATCATCTCCAATTGGTATGAGGCCTTTTGGGATGAAGTCCAAGAGTAAAACCGTGCGGGCTTAGGCCCAAAGCGGATAATATCATACCATGTGGTGGAGCGGGTCGTTACAGACGTGTTACTGATCACTTACAAAGCTAGCCCTCTGTCCTTGGCTTCAACCTGCGAATGCCCATTAAATAACTATGTGCTTGAGCTAAATTCAGCCAAGGTCTGTATATACTTGGTGATTAAATAAAGAGGGTGGTGTTTCTGACCTGCACTGTTCTCTCAATCCAAGCTCTCTTGCTATGGTTCTCGTAGCTGATGAATGTGGTGTGGGGAAGTTTCAGGCAGCTGCAGAGAAGGAAGAGATGATAGGCAAATATGATGAGTAACCCCACTTGGGATCAAACCTAAATCCAAATATTTTTCTCTGTGTCTGTCTGTGTGTAAGTTGAAGATTATGCAAGATGGGTTGGTAGAATCTTAATCTTGAAATAAAATTAAAATTCTCGTCTAACCTGTGTTTCTATGGTGGTGGTGATGCCTTAAACCATTAAAAAATGAGAGAAGACAAACTTACAAATACCTTGGCCTACCTCTTCATGTGGATCCAGTTAAAATGCATATGCCACTCAATTATCAAGTAGACATATAGCTATATGTGTGTGTGTGTACACGAAATGTTATGGCAAGCAAGGACATTGAGGAAAACATGTTACGCGTGTGTTATTTTTTTTATTTTTTTAAGCCCTGACTAAATTTCAGGGACACCGTGCAAAGCGTCCCCTTCACACGAGTCAAATAAAATTCAAGCTTGACTTTCTACTAAAACCAATCTTTGATGTTAAAACATGTTGCGAGGTTCATAATTCATTGTTGTTTAATGTTTCATGAAACACCAAATTCAGGTGTCCACTAAAACAAATCCTTGATGTTAACGAGGTTCATAATTCATTATTGTTTAATGACTGATATTATTCTGGTTACTTGTATGAACGGTAGACTACATTGAATAGATATCATGGTATTTCATTGTTGTTTCGAAACATGTAAGTAGGCCAAATTTAAAAAAGAAAAAAATGTAAAACTGATACAGAATCTTGTGAAAGTTACAGTGGATTGAACATCTATGCTTTGGCTAACTTGGGACGATCACATCAATGATGCGTGACATGGTTTCATTATGAAGATGCCTCGTTGAAATCACAAAAAGGATGTTTATGGAGTTTCCTTTTGTATATTTCTTTGAATTCTTCACAGATCCTTTTAACGTTGTGTGACAAGTATAAGAAAGGAGGAAAATCAAAAAATGGGAAAAAGGCTAAAACTTGTCATACGCCTAAACCTAAATCAAGCTTGAACTGATGAAGTCCATGAGCCTAACTAAACCTAGCACATGTTTTTTTGTACTAAACCTACACAGATTGAATTTTGTTTCATGTCCTTTGGGAGTGAGAATCCTCTTATGTTGCTGGTAGTAATTTTTTAATACAATTAAATTTATTTTCAACACATTAAATATGAAGTATTAACACTATTAAATCTTGCTTCAATTCAATATTGAAAGTATATTTAATTTTGTTGAACTTACTTACTGGTAGGGGAGATAGGAGGCTATTCGTATTTGTAAGTATCTTGTTATATGGGTCGACAAAAACACGAGAAACAAAGTCATGCAACCTTCCTATCACTCGAATCAACCGTCACACCATCTAACAGCTCAGACTCGGACCAAAAATATCAAGCATCACCATTCTACATTATCCTGAAACAGTACTACAACAAAACAAGCATAGGCACAGACAAACAGATAATAGTACTGTATTAAAGTACTTGGAATTTAAAAAGAAAAAGAAAGAGAATACTCTAAATTAAAATAAATCCTAAAAAAAAATGTACAAACAAAGCCAGAGCATAAAACGCACAATGCCAACACTGCTGTTTCCGATACGATTGACCACGACCAGAAAATTTCTTGCCAGCTCAGCTCAGAACCCAACACCAGCCGCGCCGACGCCAACCGTAGCACGGCGATACGGCTCAAGCTTTCTGCCCTTCCAGAAATAAGCATGCGGCGCAACCTGAGCCGCCGTCCTCATCGGCGCTGACTGGCACCGAGTAAGCACCAACGGCTCGTACGCCACGGCGTTCATTAACTTCTGCTCTATCATCGCAGCCATGGATGCGACGGCGGAGGGCGGCGCCGGTAATGAGCAAGACGACCTCGGCAGCAGCTGCTGTTGCGTAGGAATATTATTACAGGTGGTCTTCTTTGGCGGATCACCACCGTGCTTTGGGTTGACTAGCCTCTGGGGTAAACATCGGATGAAATCTGTGTTGCAGACCCATGTCTCCTTGGAGACCTCCATGGATAGCTTGGGCTCGCACATCATCAACACCAAGCAGTCCGGCAACACTGAGCTTTCTCTCTCTTCCTTCTTCTCATCATGGGTTTCTCTCTCTTTATCATAGTTTTCTTTGGTATCTTCTTCTGGCTTGGATCTGTCTTGGGTCACTATCTCTTCATCTTCTTCTTCCAAAAGTCTCTCATGGGTCTCTTTCTCTTCCGTTGACTCCTCTACTGTTTCTTCTTCCAATGCTTCTATTTCTGCTGACGCTTCAAACTCTGGTTCAGCTTCATCATCTGAAACTGACTGTCTGGATGACAATACAGCACAAGAGTCACTTTCTCTTCTCTCTTCTTCTTCTTCTTGAACCAAGTTTGCTTCTTTTTCTTGTTTTACAGCTTCTTGATCCACCAGAGCCTCAGTGAAAGAACTATCCAACACATTTTCTTCTTCTCCTAATATCTGGGTCATCTCTAGATGCACTTCTTCTTCTTCTTCTTCCTTTTCTTGAATTCCTTCTCGTAATAATTCCTCATTGATATCTAATTTTTCATGTGGGTTTTCTCTTTCCTCTTCTTCTTCTTCTTCTTCTTCTTCTTCTTCTTCTTCTTCTTCTTCTTCTTCTTCTTCAACTTCTTCTTGCATCTCTGTTACAACATTTGTCTCTGCTTCTTGGTTTTCTTCTTGTTTTTCATAAACTTCATCTGAAACCCACATTTCACACACTTCATTCTCTTTATCTACCATTACAAACTCACCTTGTATTTCATCTTCCTCCACATTGGCATGTTCTTCCTCATTTCCTCCTCCTCCTTCTTCTTCTTCTTGAGGCAAAGCTGATTCCCAAATCCGATTAGCAAGAGCTGACATTCTCATGGGATCAGATCTGCACCTCATCAACAAAAGAGCATTCTTTGGAGGAATACAAACACTCACTCTCCCTTCCTCTCCCTCTTCCTCTTCCTCTTCCTCTTCTTTCATTTTACATTTCTCATCTCTGATCTCCATCTCTTCCACCACATGCCTTCTCAAAGTTGTCTCTTTTATCAACTCTCTTCTTCTCTCTTCCTCTCCTCCTCCCACCACCAACTCTATCTCCCTCCCTTTTCCTCCATCCTCACCATCACCATCACCATCACCATCCTGCAAAGCCACAAACCACCTCGCAAACACCGCCCCACAAGAACTAGTATTCTCACCCCCATTCCTTCCCTTCCCGGCCTTCTCCTCCCTCCCCCTTTGGCTCAAGCACGGAAACAGACAGCTGAATTGATCAGCCCCAAACGCTCTCAAACCTTCACAAATCGCCCATCTCTGATTCCTCTGAGACAAACACTCCTGATGATGATCATTATTTGCATTTGTTGCTTCATCATTAGACTTGGAAGGAAGACTTTGATTTATCATCCCTTCATGGGTACCCTGCTGCTCTGTTTTTCGAAAACTCACCTCCCCTGATCCCCTCCTCCTTGAGAGAGTCCTCATCTGATTGTCTTGCTTCTTGGTCTTGACTCGAACCTGGCCAATGCAGGTGACTTTGGGGGAAGAAGGCTCTGGGTTTTCGAATGCAGCGCAGCCTCTTTTTCTGGGGAACATGGGCGAGGCTTGTCCTGCTGCTTTGATGCTTCCATTGGTTCGGAGTCTTCGACTGCGAGAGTTGGAGAGAGAAAGTGGAGGGTCTCGCGTGCGACCTGGGCTCAACATTGATTTTGATGACAGTTTCATGGAGGAGGAAGAGAGGCGAGAGGCGAAGCAGACTAATAGCTCGTTGCTACTACTGCTTGTGTTCGCCACACTGGTCCGATACTGATATTGGGGTCTCTCTGAGTCCATCATTGTATTGTTTCGGCCATTAAAACACAGTCAAATGGTGATGAATTTATGGAGAAGAAGTGTAACATAAATTTGATGTATATATTGGTGGCTTCTTGCTGTGGAGATTCAGATGGAGAGAGAGTGTGTTGGGGCTCTAAATGACAGAAGTACCCTTGGCATTCCAATCTTAAATCTAGTTAAAATATAAATAAATAAATAATTGAAATTAGGTTTGGCTTAAAGCCTCGGTTTGGAAAGATGGAATTGAAAGAAAAAATAATAATAATAATAATAATAATAAAAGTAGTGATATTCACACCAAACACTTGCAGTGAATTGTAATATAAAATAATTTTTAATTAATTATTTATACCCAATTTAACTAAATGAAGAATTCTACTTTCTTATTTATTGCATAATTGATCAATTAAAAGAGTAGGTCTAGCATCTATCCACTGCAAGAATTATTTTCTTAATAATAATAATGAGAAGAAAAAAATAAAAAAGGAGGGAAAAACGGTAATTTTCATATTTGGTTTGGCATTGAAGAGGCGAAAGAAAGGTTCAGAGAGATTTGGAGTTATAACTTTTAAAATCTCTCAATGGCTATCCTTTCAAAAATAAAATGACAAAATTAATTAAAAATAATTTTTCTTTTCTTCAAAAAAAAATATTATCATCTCATTTTTTTTTGTCTCATAATACAATTTTTTTTTTTTTTTCTTTTTTGATGTGCGTGGCTTTTTCCCCATTCTAAATTTTGGTTGACATCTTAAATTTTCAATCACGCACTTTGCATGGTTAAAGGTTTTAAAGCCTTAAAGGAAGTGGGGTCACGTATTATAAAGTGTTGATATTTTGTCAAGTTCAGATTTATTTAAAGTTTGTAAGACTTTTTTGGTGATTTATTTAAAGGTTGTATGACAATTTTTTTTTTTTTTTTTTTGGGAACTATATACCAATTGAGCGGAATCCAACAGCATTTTCGAAATGGCTGGCATTTTTGTCCGAGTAGCATGACTCTTTTATATAACTTGAGGATGGTTATCTAATTAATCTATTGAGTAGAGTTAAAGTGTTAACTATTAATTTCAAAATGTGACAAGGCGATTTAGGTTAAGTATTTACTCGTGATAAGTTAGGAATAGATTTTATTAATAATAATTTTAAAGAAAGTATACTTAGTTAACTAAAAAAAAAAGGCTTGGTATTGTTATATACGTATAAATTTGAAGAAGAGGCTAGACTTCACGAAAAAAATATTCAAAATTGTATTATAAATGATAAATACGATATCGTACTTCTCCACCCAAGTCACTTTCTCCTCTTTTTTAGGTTAGTTTTTTTTCTCAACAATAATCTGTTTCCAAAATTATAAAGTTACGTAACCTTCCACTACCATGGTAATTACACACCTCACATCAAAATAATTTTTCTCTATACTTGCATCAGACAATTCTCCATAACTAAATTCATTTATAGGTGTCTTAAAAAAGAAGAATTATTTAACTAGAAGACTCTAGTTAAAATTTAATTTTTTTTAAAAAAAAAAAGAAGACATAAATAAGAAAAATACGTTAAGCTCGAGACTCTAGTAGTTTTGATTGATGTTAAACTTAGGCAAGTGGGAATCCAATAATGAGGAATTGATTGTGCAGTTTGTACAGATTGTTATTGTATCGTAGTGAGTAGTCAGAGTTGTATACTTCAAAATCCTCCTCCAACGTGAACACATCATTAGACATTACACAAAGAGGTAGAAGACGAAGCTAGACCAGTTAAAAAGAAGATGGGTCTTGGAAATATCAACCCAAACAATCCTTGTCACTGACTCACTGCCCACATCTTTTACCATCCTCCTATCTTCTAAGTACATGGTTACCGACTTACAACATGCTTGTCCACTGCTACTCTGCAGTCACGTCTCGTAAGATATTTTTCTTTTGTAAATAAAATATATATATTTTTTATTTATTTCGTATTTGACAAAAATTTAGATCTAAATTGAGTTCGAATCCATCGAACAGAAAGTATAAAATAACTTATTGAAAATTGATCAATAAGTTATATTTGTTATATTATAATATTTGTTTTTTTTATAAATATTTTATGATAATCAAATACCAAAAAAATAAAAATATATATATTTTAAAAAAAAATATTTTACATCCAAACAAGCGGAGTCTTAGCCTTTATAATTTTTATTTTTTGTTAAATTTTATTTTAGTCCTATCTAATTTATATGTTTCTTTATTACACTGATAAAAGCCTTGTCAAAATTATTAAAAAAGAAACACGACCAAACAAAATACTGCTGGACTCTGATTCATGTAATTTAATGACTGAGATTTTCAGAGTTAAACTCTCGACACAACCACATTAACAAACATAAATGAGCTTTAATTTGTGCCCTACCATGTACTAGTATGAAGCAGCATTTTCCAGCACAGTAACCTTTTACAAAGATGAAATTATAAAGGTTCTCATGAAATTTGGACAAATTATATACAAATGGATTGTTCTGCGTTTATTATTTTGAAATTTTTTGAGATTGGTGAGTGTATTAAATCTGTTAAATAAATTTTATAAAATGACAATCTTGTATGGAGTGCATCATAATATATAATATATATTATAATATAACAGTATGATTGATCTTGCATACTTAAAATGACTTTTTCCTGAAATATATGAATAATCTATGCACGTCTAATTGTTCCAAACGAACGTTAAGAAATGTTAATTAAATTTACACTTTTACAAATGTACTATACTACACTTTGATAATGAAATAACGTTATTATTTATTTATTTATTTTTGACATAATTAGGATTACTTTTGGAACATGGGGAATCGAGAGGGACGAGGTGAAACACAAGAATCCAAGGATGCACGTGAAGAGAGAGAGACCAAAAAACACCAAGACGCCCTATTTTGTATACCCACGCGTTTTAATAGAGCGTGACAAACAATCCACATAAACGAAGCAAAACGATAAATGAATATGAGAAAATTTATGTACAGAACTTCAGACTCTCCTAAGATGAGAGTGGGAATGAAGTGTTCCTAAAACAGAGGCATCGTAGGCAGAGATAAGCTGCGTGAGCAGGCAGAACATAAAAAGCTGCGCAGCGTGAGCGCGTGAGTGAGAGAAAATTGGTGGAGTTGGCGTCTCGTGTGGTCGTCTCCATACCCTCACATGTAATCCACCAATGATCATTGACGCGTCAACAAATTTTGAGTTAATTGGTCTGATGTGGTGGGGATAGTCACACATAATTCAAAACACCACCTTGCTTGGGTATTATATAGTTTAAGAGGTGATAAAATAGAAGGTGAGAGACTGAGAGTGGGAAGAAGGGAAACCCCAACTAATGATCTAATTAGGGTTGGACCATGTTACAGTTTGTCATATTATCACAATAAATTCATCAAAGCTAAAAAATTGGCAGACTGAAACCAAAACATCAGTAAAAAAAATAACTTCAAATCATACAAGGAAACTAACTTCAAAAATTAACTGTGAACTCACAAAATTCCCACAATGTACATCTTTACAAGTAAGAATGCAATCGTTACATATAAACTATAGTATAAAGTGTGGTTGTAGTGGAGAGTGTTCGACACATTGGACACGACTTATTCTTTAGCATCCATTGTAACAAGCAGTTCCTATGGAATGTATGCGAACACGGGGTCATTGCAACCACCATTCCCGTCAAGAACCTCTGCAGACAAATCGGACACACATCCGTTGGCGCAACACCTGGGGTGGTTGATACCACCATCCCTTTCAAGTACCTTCCCAGACAAATCGAACACATATCTGGTGCTGCTGCCTCAATTGGCTTCAAAACTTCTGTGTTTCATGGATCGTAATTGCCTCGTCTAGAAAACCCTTTAATGTAAACAATATATCCCGAAAGAATCTGTTACAGATATCATCATCAATTAGTAGGCCTACTTCTTCTTCTTCTTCAATATCCCTTGAATCAGCATTAGTTAGTTGTTTCACTACTTCACTACCATATTGGCATGGCTGATCACCATGTTCGTACGAATCATAGTACAACATAGTATTACTGACTGTACTGTCTTGAGTATTGTCAACAAAATTGAGCATACAAACATCTATGACTATCACAATCTTGGCGGGCTTTTTGCTGGGAACGACCGAGTTTTGCATGGTGAAGTAAAAACCATTGTTAAGGAAGACAGACAAACGTTGAGCAAGAAAAAGAGCCGTAGTGTCTTTTTCGAAAAATTTTGAGCTTTCGATTCTGTGGATTCTCGTGATAGTAAGCTTTCGAGCTCAAATACATTAACATAATGTTTGTCAAAGTATCCAATTGCCTCAACACGAGTACCATCTTCTTTCTTAGCAAGGGCGCCACTTACGCGTAATATGTAGAGACCTTGTGAATCGGAAACTTGACTACCGGAAAGCTTTTGCTTCCACTCGAACACACCAAATTTTATGTTTAAGAGCCGTTCAACAACCATCGTGTCCGACTCTCCTCTGTGATTGATTCGTTGTTGTCTCACTAAGAAAAATTTGCCAATTACATATGCTGCAGATAGATGACTTCTGATCATATATGTATGATACAAGAAAAAATATGATACAGTATATTTTTAGGAAACTAGCTACCTGATTAAATAGGAAACTTAACCTCTCTCACTTTCAACCGCCTCAGATCAAGTTAATAGGAGTATTTGGTATTTCCGTAATGAAAAAGGAAAACCACATCATTATGATTTATTACGTAAAGAGAAATATGGTACGAAGGAGTATATTTTTAAGGAAACTAGTGATAAAATAAGGAAACTAGTGGTTTCGGTTCAGTTGACAAAAAAAGCCAAAGAGCTTCATTCAAATTTTTATTGTTCCAACACTTCATAGTAAACAACTTATTACACATGCACTAAATCATAAAAAAATAACCTTAACCTCGGATTTCGGAGTAACTTTCAAGCATACAAAGAGCCTAACCTCATATTTCGGAGCACAAAGGACCTCAGATTGGGACTACCTGATATTAATTATTTCAGGTGTATGTAGAACAAAAAACATTCCAAGAATTTACCGGTTGCAAGATAAATCTTTGGAAGCTTTCATTCACAAAATTCCCACCATTTTCTATACAGAATGCCCGTATTTATTGTACAGAGAAGACCAACGAATGAAGCATTTTCTCTCCAAGTACCAGTAGAAAGAAACATTTACAGAAATGCAGTGGCAGTTCATCTATTCATGATTCTACTTCTAGATTATCAGTTCGAGCTTGTGAACTTCTCTTTATTCAGTCAAATTCCAGCACAACTTTACCAGGAATGCGCCTCTTATCTTTGGCCTCGTGAGCTTCTCTCACTTGTGCAATGGGAAATGTCTTATCCACCGGTATTTTCAACTTCCCAGCCTCACATAGCCTCCGGATCTCATCTAAACCTTCCGCATCAGCCCTCATGTACGTCCACCAATATTCTGCACCGTACATAAAGGAAAGGCATCGGTCCATTAAACGAAAATATAAATAAAACTACAATTATTTATAAGCTTTTTCCCACCTTTGACTTGTAAACAGAATTTGACATTTAAATTTTCCCATTTTATTAGGTTTGAAGAGTGCAATGGTATGTAATGCTGCTAATACACCACTCCCAGACCCTGTGGGATATTTCTGTGCCCGCCCTCTAGAGAGAGAGTAAGAAATCTTTTTCAAAAGGGACTAAATTTAAATAACTTATACACTTCTATTTCTATTGCTCGAAGTGTGGCAGTGATTACGCATCCAAGTAGAATCCGCCATCACCATCTTCATTTGAGAGAGGGGATGTATGTATTACTTTTTAGATATCCAATGGGGAATGTACAATGACCCTCCACCAAAACCAAGAAGATGCACTTGAGTATACTTTACAAAATGGTACTACTACTACAAAAAGTGGTTACCATTGTATAAATAACTGCCATTAATCTGAATGATAGGATATGAACCCACATTGTGCTGGTGATCACAACTAACACTACGCCAAAGCAACTACAATAACACACGACCCTCGTTAAGTTTTCAACTGTATAGTATCATAAAAACCAACTTCTTGAAAAATAGCAAATATAAACACAAAACATATACTTTGAGGTTTCCATTCTCCAATTAATGAAGATTCTCTTTTGAGTATCAGAAAGGAGTGGAAATACACTTAGCGGGGAAGGTTGTCAAGTTACATTGAGTTGAACAAGAAGTGGGAGTACACTCACATGAGACAGTTCAATTCGGAAGTGTCACGTGAGCAAATTAAATTTGGAAGTGTCTCCATCTAATAAGCATAATTATGGACAGAGGACATAGATACAACATGAAAAGTTGACACAATAAATCTTTAAAAAGGCAGTATGTGGCTATGTGCACAATGATAATACAACAATAAAATATAGGGAAAATTACCTGTTAGTCCTAATATTGCACTCTAAAGACAAATGAGTCCTAAAAAAGTTTCATAAGACAATGAAGTCCAACTTTTTATACAAATTTCCAACAAAATTCTATACCCAATACAATTCCTCTTCTACCCTTTTCATATATATATGTGTGTTACTTAACTAATTTTCTCCAAGCAATTTTACTAAAAAATTGATTGAAAATGAATAATTTAAGAAAAAAACTTTCTTAGAAATTCACACTCATTGTTTGGACCTTGTTATTGAACTCTATTAATCTGTTAAGAGTTGCTAATTAATTTAGTACAGTTGCCTTTTGTTTTATACTGTCAAAACGCTGAATTCCAGCTCTCAAGACCTCTGTAGAAACTTTAGCTGAATATCAATCAATACCAAAAACAGAAAGCAAATGAGTCCAAAATTAAGAATTTTATTCCTAAATTGTAACACATCCACGATGTGCCAGACACGTGCCCGATAGCATCCAAGAAGTTCCGTTGTTCGACATATGTCCAACACAAACAAGGCTCTTTCTTAGAAGTAAGGATGCTTCTTAGGTGTTGAGACAAACTTATCAAGTAAAATCCTATTTCAGATAAAACTCTGCAACCTTATACCAAAGCCTAAGCCTTCCTCACGGGGGTTTTATCCCCAATTAACATTGATAATACAATTGCAAGAATCATGGATGTATATCTCCTATTCTGAAATAGAAGGCCATCACAAATTAGCTCTCAAATCAAAAGGACTTGAAAACCTAGCTTAAATTGTAAAATAAAGTACCACTATCAGTCTATCGTGGTTGTTTTTTATATTATAAAAGTACACTTTATTCACAAGTAATTCTCACTATCCGAATTTTAGGCTTCACCCTTACAGTCGCTTGACAATAAAGCCGGATATCGAGTCAAAGCACGTTTGGGTGGAGCAGAGGGAAATTGGGGGCGTAGAGGCGGCTGCTTTTGAAACTAATACTAGGTGAGGTGACAAATATAAAGGCCATCCAAATGGATCATCCTTGAAATCATGAATACTAGGGTTTAATAGTGAATAGTGGCTAATTGGTTGAAAAAGTTTCCCCTAACTCCCCAAGGATCTTTTTTGAAGTTTTGACCTAGTTCTTATTGAATGCCATTGTTAAGGTTTAATAGACATCATTAAACAGCTAAGCACATTACCCTATGCACCCATAGGTAAGAGTGCAACAATTTGACAGGTTTCAACATGATTGTATATCCCCTTCTCCTTTTAGTGAATCCTAGGTTCATAAACTGACCAGACTATAGAACAAGCAAAATAAGTTTATCTATTTATGTTAGAAGAGGGAAAATAATTATAATAAGTCCTACATTTAAATTATTGAGAACAACACTCATTCATGCCTGGTTTCTATCAAATAACTTGATTCAAGTATGATGCCATAAATAGGTTTAATACCTATTCCATGAGAATATCGGTATTGAATCTGTTTCTTCAGCAAAATTGCTGTAGCCATAGGAAGCCCAATAGCTAGTCCATAACTATCAGTCAATGATGCTGCCTCCCCCTACAGTAAAGTCAACCAAAACTGTAAAATGTTTATGTAACAGCATATATGCAAAAAATATCTGAAGATTCCTTGTTAGAAGAAAAAAAAAATAGCGACAAACTTCCATCTCTTACCTGCAATGTCATATAGTGGCCACCTCTCCTCAAAAGATTAATGCCCATTCTTTCCGTCTCCGGGGCACCAATTGTATCCAAAACAGCATCAAATTGCCCTTTTATTGCATATTCAACATCCTGTAAATTAGTATACAAAGAAATGTTAGCAGGAATGGGAGGGGGTAAAAGAATCTATTCCAAACCCCAAGATTAGAATAAAACAGTGGGCAACATGAAACAAAGAGTACTCATTAACTAATTGCATCATCACCTCAGTAGTATAGTCAACAGCCTGCTCAGCACCAGCTGCCAGAACCCGATCAATTGTTTCACTTCCACATGTAGTTGAAACATGGCACCCTGCAGCTACAGCAAACTGAATTGCAGAAAAACCTACAGCACCTCCTCCACCCACCACCAACAGCCTTTGCCTGTACAGGTTAAAGTGAAAGGCAGTCATGAGAAATAAACAATCAAAACTTCCAAAATATATCTATAATTTTTTACAAAATTAGGGTTCCCTGATCCATCCCCCTTATATCAAATACTCAACTACTTGGCTCATTACTTGAACTCGCCCATAATTCATTTTCTATTGCTGTATGATGATATGGAAGTTCCAAATAACAAACTAGTGCACATCCAATTAAAAATTTAAATATGCATGCTTATCATCACAGCAGCATGGTGATGTTACAATAACGAAACTGCATTAATTGGTCAAAGAATCTAAAGTACTATCATGATTGATATGATGGTTTCTAATTCTCAAGGGTTAAAGTGTTTAACTTTATAATATTGTCCAAAATTATGCCAAAGCCACTGTGGCACATTTGTAATATAGGTTGGCATGACATCTTAAAGAGAGGTTTAGATTCGTTTGATAATTATTAATATCAATCTAATTAGCCCAAAAATATTTTTGTTTTAAGAAGAAATATGGTTGAACATACCATCAAAATACTCATTCCATTGCTCTCATTGGATACTACAAGTATATTGTCCTTTTCAAATAATCTAAACCGTATCTCTTCACAATGTATGATAATCATTATTTGGATTTCACAAATTGACTTTCTTTCGTAGTTCTATATGGAGATTGACTTCCTTGAATTTGATGACTCCTATGTCAAGGAGGGCTATATATTTACAAATGCTATGCAGAACAAGATGGAAGTCAAACATCTTAACGCCAATAAAACAATTGTAATATTATTAATATAATTATTATGGAAAGTAAGCTGCATATGCATAGTACTCATTAATCATGACATATTCATGCACACATCCATACACATCCATTCATACATATATATCACCATATTTCCTCCAAAACAGAAGTTAAATTCAACAATATAACATACCCTTCCCTTATCCTAGCTGTACTTTTTAAAGCACGCCATGCGGTCAGGGCAGCAAAAGGAATGGCACTTGCTTCCTGCATGATTATTGCAAAAGATAATATATAAATTTGTGCTCTACACTCTTAAAATAAGGTCGAAATGGAAAACAGTAAACTATAAAATTGATCAGATCAATCTCAGAAAGGTAGAATTCAGGAGTAGATGAAAAAGATATGAGGTAAATTTTTAAACACATTACAGAATGCACAGTATCTTAGAGATGAAAAATGATCCACTAACTATAAAGATTGCACTCTCAGCCCACAAGACAAAATCCATTGAGAAATAACTATTTATATAAGCCAAGGAGAACATATGAAAAATATATATATATATATATATACAAAAAAGGTTGTCATGAAGGCATGAGCAGATTTAGGTAATTCTTTTGCTCATGGCTATGAAGGACTCTAATACTTACCACATGTGACATTGACACTGGTTTGGAAGTAATTTCGTCTTCCGAAAGAATGGCATAGTCAGCATAAGTACCCCTCACAGCAGTTGGATGCAGTGCACCAAACACTTCCTGCCCTATACTAAGTGATCGAACCGAAGCTCCAACAGCTGCAACTTCACCACTAATATCACGGCCCAAAATGAGTGGCAATAGAGATTTAAATAAGGAACGACCATAGCCTGATCGCATCTGAAATATTAAAATTTGCAATACTTAATAAATGCAAGCTGGTGCATAAAATAAATATCCAAGTACAGCGTAAACAGATTGACAGTCCTAAAGATAATTAGTAGTGACCAAGCATGGGAAATGGTTTCTGCCAAAATTTTGGAGAATATCACCATCATTGGACACTCAGCTCACCGAACAAAGAATCTTATCACATTATTAGTTTTGGCGTGGCATCAAAAAATTAATTTAAGACAGATTCTAGATGTTTCAAAATCGTAATTTTTCTGCTGTTTGGATCAACCTAATAGCACTCGCATAATTTTTATCATGCTTGGTTCACTGATCGTATACCAAACATCACTTCTGTTATGGTAGATTCCCCCAAAAAATATCCATAGATCATGTGAAAGATGTATGCAGTTTATTTATGCACCATCATGCAGTTTTCAACCCTCACAATCTACTCTCCTTGAACATGACGAAATAAAGAGCCACTTAGATAGATTTTACAGGGGTTATATATGTACTTACCAATCAAATCCAGAAAATGTGAACTAAGTATTTCAAGTGCCCCCTAATCCTTTATGTGATAAGCATAAGTGACCCAGAACCACTATAACAGGAAACAAAATCTACTCATTCCATTTTAATTACAAAGTCATCATTAGCACATAATAATGTCATATTGACCAAGTAACAGTATAGTGAGTGACTTCTACATGGTACATTCTTTTACATTTCCATTTTGCCATGTGTCACTGAATCTAATTTTCATGTAAATAGTTTGTACTTTATTTTATTTTTTATTTTTACTTTTTTATACGGATAAGATAATTATTCAGTTGTTAAGGAATTGTTTATCCTCCACAGGCAAGTCTGTCCAAATTTTTGAGTCAAACAAGCTGCATAGATGAATTATGGCACATAGATCCACATTGTCCTGCTCTTACTCCATTTGATTCTCCTAACAATCCATTCAAAAAAAGGGAAAATGCTCGGCGCTTGCTTGGTTGCAAAGAAAAGGCAGGAAAAAGAAACAAAAGGAAATTATTTGAAATCTGAATACTAGAGTCTAGCCTTAAACTTCACACAACTGACCTAATCCATCATAACCTTCGTTTATTTATTTATTTGTCCATGTCTTGGGCAACCAAACAACAGAGAACATATAGATTTTCTTTCTTACCCACAGTCCTTTCACCAATAAAATGGCGTTAAAATGGCGTTTAAAATCAAAATCCGTCATATTAAAGAAACAACTTATCACAATTTCTAATAGCAAAAATTGCATACATGATAAACAAAAAATAAATAAATAAATAAAATAAAATAAAAATAAAAATAAAATAAAAAAACCTCTCAATCCATCATTAGTCTAAATGAACCAATACAGAACAATAAAAAGAAATACAAATGCTTCGTTTGATCACTAAAAAAACGTCAGAAAGTTGAAAAAGGAATATATATATATATATATATATATACACACACATATATATTCAGTCTTAAATTCATGATAATTGAGATCCAATGAGACAATAAACCTTCACACAATAGCTTACCTTAACCGTTCTTCATTTTTATTGGAAACCGCAAGATTTTGTACATTCTAATTTCTCTAATTCCTACATTTCTCAGCAACAAACGAAGAATTAAATTTGAAACAAATTCAAATACTAATGAACTCACTCTTGTATCAAGAGGATTGATCGACACAGCACGTGCGCGAACCAGCACCTCATTGGGCTTCAGATCAGGAACACTCGCATCGTGACGGAGCTCAAGGGCCTCGGGCCCACCGAAGCGCGTTAAGAGCACGGCTCTGCAACTGGTGACGATACATCTAAACCCTATCTTCGTCGACCACGAAGATGATGAACGAAGCAACGAATAAGATTCGGAAGTTGGAATTGCTGTGCTATTCTGTGCATTGAATTTCAATAACAATCGCATCATTTTGGATATTGAATTAGAAGTCCGAGTCGAATACTTCCTAATAAGTTCAATGCATGAGAAAATTTGACGAAGAAGAGCTGTGAGTAAGGTTTTTCTTTGTTTCCCCTAATATATTGACATGAAGAGAGAAATGTCTAGTGTATGACTGTGTGTGTGTGTGTGTTTTAGAAAGAGAGAGAGTGGAATTGAAGGCGTGTATGTGTTCCTGGCCGCATATGGGACTGAATTTCGTGGACGCCTCCTGAGTAGGGCTGCAACTCGGCCGAGTTAGCCGAGTTAGCCGAGTTCAACCAAGGAGAACAATATTACCTCCACACAGGAGGATCAAAATCCTCTCATCCAATTATTAGTAATGGCGTCTAAAAAATTTTGCTAAAAATTGGTTAGTAACGAGTAAGAGGCTAAGAGCCAAAGTTTGAAATGTGTTACCATTGATATTTCACCAATCAGATGGAACTCATCCCATACTAAACTAAAAGAACCATTAATTTCTCACAACAAAATTTCAATAAGCACCACTTTATCCAATTGCTGAAAATTCAAACAAAAATTTAAATAAATTTATTATTTAATTGCTACTTAAAAACTTTTAAAATTTTCAATAATTAATTTTTTATTCTCCTTTACAGTCAATTGCATTTTATAAATCATCTAACTTTTTATTGCTCAACAACCCTAATTCCAAGCATTTAGGTAACCAAAGTATTTTTGAAATGCAATCACCCTAATCCAAAACATCAGATCAACCCAAAAAGCAAATGGGTAGCACATTTCCTTTCACACCCTCTCAGTTTTTAGATATTAATTGGAGCATCAAATAAGAATACAAAAATTCCACACTTTGAGAAATGTTCCATAAATGCAGATTATTGACATAAAACTACATCAAAATCCACAGGAAAAGTATCTTTTTTTCAGTAACCTTACAACATGCATAATACGTCGTAAAATGCATTTATCAAACAGCTTTAAAAGCATTATATACATCATTGAAGATATTGGTTCTTCTACCTCCTCATAATCGTGTACCAACCCTAGTGGAAGGTTACAAAACTCATATCTACTATTCCTTCTAAGGTAAAAGCAGAACTTTCTCAACATCTGATGCACGCCCTAAGCACCATCATCTTCAACGTTGTTAACCCGTTCACATTCATCGATCCATTCGCTGTATCTGAAGTGGGAAGAAAAATGGATGAGTCAAAAAAACGGCCATATAAATTGACTATCTGTAACATGAGGGAACATATAGAATTCACTTACACATCTATGGGTTCAGTTAAAGCTGCAACGAGAAAATAAAAAAAGATCAGTTCCCCCCAGATAAATATAATCATCACAAAAACAAAGTCAACATAAAAATAGAACCCTCAGTTTATATAACCACCATTGGAGATAGTATCACCAGTTGACAATGAACCCTATCACTCAACATTATTAAACAAACCGGGCAGAATCCCAAAGCAATAAATAGTCCACGAAACAACAAATTATATAATTACATTAAGCTCAGGTTCCTATATTCTCTAAATGCCTCAAGCAAAGTACCCCAACAATAACCAATTTCGATCCATTTACACGCATGTCCATTAATATTATCCATGCCACACCTTTCTTTGGAGACTGAAGAAGACTAATCTTTCTGTGCTTGTAACATCTCAGGGCACTTAACAAATAACTTGAGTACATTGCAAAAACTCCAGTTCTACAACTTTGCTTGTTGTGCATTGCCTAACCCAACTTTTACTGTTCGTCTAGCAAAAGCCACCACGATAATATGCTATGTAAGTTTAACCCGTATTATTAGATAAAATGAAAGCACAGCATATAGTGCACCAAAATAAGGCAAGCTGGTGGATTTAGCTCCCTTAGTTAAATTGTTAAGCTAGTCTCAAATTCATTTAAAATTCCTTCTTCACTGATAGAAGAGGAACTGATGAACCAATTCCTGAAGATATTATTGCGTTATGGTGGTTCTTGTTTGTCTGATTTGATGTCCTAGATAGTGAAAGAAAAAGGGTTATCAAGAATCAATTATTGCATAGAAGAATTCTTGTCTGCTGGAATTAACATTCCGGAAAAGAAATTTTCCACAATAACAGTTCTATCTTTGAGTAAATCACACTAACACAACAGGCAGTTTATTGAAACTTTCTTTGCTTCATCAAAATATTTTTTTTCCTTTTTCATGTACTGTTTAATGTTTATTTTAAGTTCACCTCACCTTCAAATCACCTTAAATTGTATGATCTCAAACATTTTGTCCTTCATAAAACTCTAAGTGAACACTTGAAGACTTGTTGCTTCCAACCCAATTTCGCAAAAATTACCATCATCATAAAGAGGGATGCTAGCAACAGTTGCTCACTAGCATGACTGGGGCAGCTCAGTCACTGCTTAGCATGTGTAAATACCTTTTAACAGCAATTAATTACTTAATAAAGCCAATTTTTCTTGGATCTCTCATTGATGTGCAATTACCAACAAATCCTGTTACAATTCTACACAAAATGAAAAAGACCAAGTTTGAAAATCTCTCTCTAAACTCATCATATAAAATTTTCTTCTTCAAAGTTTTTTTTCAAGTACAAGTCTGATTTTTTTTTTAATTTATAAGTTAAAAGAGGGGAGAGATAAATAAGTGTAGGGCAATCCCCTCGCTTTGGCTGCAAATCAGCCATGGAGTCCCATATTGTTAATTTGCGCCTATCGCACTAACGTGCGCCGCGATTAACCTCTCCCATGGAATAACACACCACCCCTTTCCTCAAGGGGGACAGCCTTGGGCATTTTAAGTACAAATCTGATTTCTCATAACGTAATCTCTTTTATCAGAATTGTATATCACTTTTATAGTTGAAGAACTTACCATTTTCTTCTATCCTCTAAATTTTTCCTTCAATCCTCCAATTCTTAGATTACCCAACAAATAGTTGATATGAACTGATAGACAAATGTGTAGAATTGTGTAGGTTTTGAAAATAGTGTACAATCTTGTAGGTTTGAACAAAAATTTATCAATTCATAATTCTGTGCAATTTTCAAAACCAACACAATTCTACACAATTTTCTAACAGTTCACATCTATCTTTTTGTTGTCTAATCTAAGAAGTTGTGTAATATAAGAATCTGGAGGAAAGAAGAAAAAGGTAAGTTCTTCAACTATAAAAGAGAGATCGCAATTATGAGAAAAGATATTAAGGGAGATGAGAAAATCAGATCCATACTCCAAAAAAGGTTAAATTTTAGATAAAGAAAGATGATATTTTTAGAGAGAAATTTCTGGGTCTTTCCATTTTGTAACAGGGCAGGTTGGTAATTACACACCAATGAGAGGCCCAAGGAAAACTTGGATGTAGAAGTAATTAGTTGTTGGGAAAAGTATTTACACCTGTCACAAACTCATGCAGTGACTGACTTGCCACAGTTGCGCTAACAACTGACCCTAGCATCCCTCACATCCTAAATTACACGCCGCACGGGCAGGGTGGGGGTGGGGAATGTATACAAAATTGGCAAGATTGCCCTCTCCTTCTGTCCAGAACAATTAAGACATTCTCCTCTTCTTTTCTTTTCTTTTCTTTTTCCCCTCCAGTTCATATCAGAAATGCAGCACAAGTATTACCATAATTTCAAGCATCATGACTCAGAAAAGCAACGAACTAACTAATGCATACCTGTTACAGTAGTGCTAAACCTCTCTTGGCATATCCCGCATAAAGCCTCACCAATCAAGTTCTTCATATCACTGAAACCAGAAATTTGTGTTTCAGCACATCAGATAATTGTTTAGAAACTACATACTGTTCGACTACATCAACCGATTGTAATAGTATATTACACCAAAATAAATAATAAAAACTGAGACAAAGCATAATAATTCTCATTGGCATCTACACCTCTGTCCATATTACAAGTGGATTCAAAACTTTAAAATAAAACTAATTTTGTAAAATTCATTTTGATCACTATATCTATGAGAATTTTTCCGTAATGAGTTTAACAAATGTTGATTTTAAAACAAAGTTGACCATTGACTCTTTCTAAATTTGTGAGGTGCCATTGTCAGACATACAACACTTGGATATGATTATGACAACCTAGTTAGACATACACCTGAAAAGTATATATATTTTAAATTTTACCATGCAATTGAAAAACTCATACACCTGAAAAGTATATATATTTTAAATTTTACCATGCAATTGAAAAACTCTTTGTTTAAATCATTTTCTTACATTGTTTAAAACAAATGAAGTGCCATTTTGAACACTTCATAAAATTAAATACACTTTACCCACCAAACATAACTTTACAAGAGCATGCATCATTGGTGCTCAACTAAAATGGATATAGTATGTGTGCAGTGAAAATGAAGTCATAATGCTCGTTTTCCTTGTACCAAATTAAAAAGTAATTGACCAACAACAGTACCTCATAATTTTATACATTTGAATAATAAAACCTCTCTGCCAAGTGCAATAATTATTTAATTACAAGGACAAACAAGAGTTATTACACACTTACATACGACATTCGACGCTGGTCCCATGATTACAGAAGGGACAGCTGAAGACAGTGTCAAGCTTATCCATTCTCTTCCTTGGGGGTGGCTTTGCCCTTGACTTCCTTTTACCCATTTGTTATATCAATTTTCACCTTCAGTATCATTGACATTAAAACATATTAGTTCAGCTGCTATATCACAAGTATGCAGAGCAATCACATCAATTCTGTTTTACCACATAATTTACAAGTACTGAAAGAAATTTGAAGACCCAAACTATATTTGATTCGTAAAAAATGCTTCTTAAATAAAATGTACTCACAGGAATGCTAACAACCATTAACTCCTGCTTAGAAGCTGTAACAATTTTGCATGGGGCACTTTCTTTGAGTGCCAATATGCATCAGCTTATAGACACTCATTGTATTTATTAAAAAATAAAATAAAAAGGTGCAGTTACATTAATGAAATAGTTCCAAAAATTTAGAATGTGAGCATAGTAAACATTGTCAATGGATAAAGTATTGTCTGTCTGATTATGTGTCAAAAGGATGACTCCTAAACGGAGTAAGTGTCATGGTCCAACTGATTTAAAAAATAAACAAGATCTACATAACGAGAAAAATAAGCCATAGAAAACATAACCTAAGCACACTAAATGAATTCATTCTTCCATGAAACATCCTACCTCATTTTAAACACATTTACCGCATTTGAAGATCAATCATCACATTTTAAATCCAAATAGGTGATAACATGTTTTAAATCTAAGTGATGCAACTTTTTTCTTTAGATCAATGTTCAATTGATGCATAATGTCTGCCCGCTTAAAAGGAAATAAATAAAATTAACTTAAAAAGATAAAGCAGTTCCAAATTCCAATTAACCTGTGTAGCATCTTCTATCTACTGTACAGAAGGAAATACTTAGACTAAAATAAAAAGGTCCCAAACTATTCTTCTTGGCAGAATTTAGAATTAGATGAATGGGTTTCGTAGCTTATGAGCTAAATACCTCCGTTTTGATTTTGTATTGTATAGAATGACAATTTTGACTTTGTACAGTATATTATATCCAACTCATGATGTTTAAATTTCTTAATAAACAACATCCAGGTTCCAATATGGTAGTGAGCAAGCAATGCCTCGGATCCTCCTATCAGATAGAATAAACCCTAAATCAAGAAGACTCACTCAAACATAGTGAACATTGAATTTGAACATAAAGCAAACTTCTGTTTATTTTGAATTCCAATAAATCTAGAAAACTAAAACTAAAACTCAAAAAAAACGGAAACTAAAACAATCTAAATTATGAAACCAAAACAAACCCTGGATTATGAAGCATAAGCATACTTATGTAGATAAAACAAAAATACCTGACGATTTAAAGTTCGTTACTCCAAGAAAGCAAATAAATTAAACAAATTTTATCAATATTGAATTAAATTTATAAAAATAAAATCCACAATGGATCCCGAACCTACATATAGAAAACATACACGAATCGCATAAGTGTTGAATTTATTGGATTATAGGCCTTAACGATGTAGAGAAAAACAAAAAAGGAAATACAAGAAATACAAAAGAATGTAAAGCATTTACGTACCTGTCGATTCTTAATTCGTGACTCCTTAGTGAGATAGATTGAGGGGAGGAGGTTGAGGTGTATTTATAGCCCCAAGTAACCATAAAATTTTGGGACAAGGCTTAGTGATACGACGGCGTCTAGAATGGGACTCTGGGGAATTTGGCCCCGCATGGGCGGGTAGCCGCACCGCCCCTTTATGTCGGTTTGGGAGACTGTGCTTATTTGGGTGGGAATAATTTTATTTGTAATGTTAAATTTTATGTTAAAGTATTGATGACTTCTTTTTTTTTAATGGATTTTTAATAGTTTTGATTGCATTTGAGGGGCCAAAAAAAGTTTAAAAGGCTGAAAAACTCTAAGACTAAACGAGACAAGGCGGGAATGGGTGGGAAGGTCCTGTCGATTTTGGGCGGGGCAGGATGGAGGTTTCTTAATGGGGATGGGAGCGTACACCTGCCTAAAATTGCCTACTATCTTATTTGTGTGCACCCTTCTTTTTCATGGTAAAAAACACACTTACACACTCACTATTTGCCCCCTAAGGACATGAACCTTCGACCTTCTACTAAAAATGTGAGAAGGTATCACTAGGCTAAGCCACAAGGGGCCTTGGATATACTATTGTTAAAGTACCTCATTCATTATTCGTCATGAATGTGTTACAACACAATTTCAATGAGATAAAAATTGTCGATCATACTTTGGAGTAGACATTGGGTGCAAGCACAAAATTTTTTATTATTGTATTTTACACCCCTAAATTTATATTCTTTATATCTATAAAATTTTGAAATTGCCTCCACTGAAATTATGAAAAAAAACCATATGTATAAATATGTCCCTCTCAAATGAATTCCTAGATCCGTCTCTGATTGAGTGAGTTAGACATGTCATGTCACTGGTGTGTCCACCTATTGAACTTGCAATTAACTGAACCCATCTACATATTATTATAACAGCTTTCCACCAATTTACATGTTGCATGTTCATTAGGTAGGTATACCAATGACATGGTATGCCCCACTCACCATATTTCCACTCCAACTCAACATAATGTAACTAACATTTGCTAGACTGACAGTATTAGAATTTCAGCTAATGAAAAGTGCTTTCCATAAAGAAAAAAATAATAAAAAAAGGACAGCACTTAAGTCTTCACGATGAGGAGCTACTAATTGTTGAAGTGGATTAATAACAAATAAACAAATCCTTTTTAATTACAAAATAAAAAATGACGAGGTATATATCCACCGGTGAGGACCTAACTATTATTCTTTAATTATTATTTTTCTAATTTTATACTGTAATTAAAAAAAAATGATATGTACATTTGTTATTGGTACAGATCAGCAAGATTGATAAAGAAAAAATAAATAAATAAATAACCCTTCGTTGACTCACTGCATTGACTAGCCACGACAACAATGATATCTATTTGAAACCTTAACTTTGAGGGAGATATTTGCAACCTCGTCATATCGGTTTGAAACCTTATTTCAAGGAGATAGTTACAACCTCGTCATCTGTTTGAAACCTTATTTCGGGGAGATAGTTGCAACCTCGTCGTTGGTTAGTTGGCAGAAAGATAACCACCCCTATCCAAGGAGTTGTTAAAAGTAATAAATATGATCCCAAAAATCCTCTTATTTACAAATGATTCAAATGGGATTATTTTTTTGGACTTGGATTATCTAAGTTAAAAACTTTCTACATTATCATAAGTTGAATAAGATAGATGTTAACATGTGGCACATTAATGACATCTAAGGCTTATATTGCAGCACATCAAATAATTAACTTAAATTATAAAAGTGAGCTCAACCAATAACGATTGAGAAAAATAATACAACACACTCAAGAATAGTAAAAATAAAGAAGAACAATGTATAGAGAAATATAGAATTGCTTGGATGCTTTTATTGGAGGTCTGGGCCTCTATTTATACACAAAAATTGGTAGAATTAAGGTAGGGCTCGCGTTACTTGTCCTCCAATTCTTCCCATACATGACTTTCTTTACAAATAGAGTTCTTTCTATTGTATAATATTTCCTACGTAGAACTTGCTTTGTATAGAATTTTCCTTCTGTGTTGAATCATTTGCTTAATAGGACTGGACAATATTTAATTGTACTTGGGCCGGATGCAACTCGGTTTAAATGACTTGACCAATGGGCCAGAACTTCAACAGTAGTGATGTTGGGCTGATTAATGTTTTTACCTGGCCTTGGAGGTCCAATACAAATGATATTGGGTTAAATAATAATGTAATTTGGGCTTGATCCGGATGGGCTTTTGAAATCTACCAAATGTAGATTTATACAGTGATGACGTGTTCAATTCTTATTGGGGGGAGATTTTTCCCTCCACACGTCTTTGTTACGTCCCTCTAATTCCCAAATTCATTGGCTGAATTCATCAAATTTTGATCGTCGAAAGTCACAATCTTACTGTCGATATTATCAGCCTGATCTTGCTTGTAATTCACAGCACTCTCATAATTCAAGTTCCTATTTTTCATGTAAGATTTTATTCTATTATACATGTTTATGTATATATAATATATTGAATTTTTAGATCAAAGAACTTGACCAAAAATTTCTGAAAAAATAAAATAAAATTTCAGAAAGAATAATGAGGAGAAAAAGGAATTTGAAATCAATAATTAATCAGAATTCAAGTTCCCACTTCCCATGCACTATTATTATATATGTTTGTTTATATGTGTTATACATTGGATTCAATTTAGACTGAATAACTTGTGCATAAGGTTTGATCTGCACAGAAAAAGGGAGGGGTGGTGACGGAAGTGGTCGGCGTTTAAATTTGTTCTCCAAAATGTTTTAGGTGTCAAGAATTCTTTTATGATGAAATGATGTGGTGCGTTATTAGCCTTGGATTTGTATACCATTCTACTTGTCAAGTTTACAATAATTTAACTTATGATAATGTAGAGATGTTTTAACTTAGAAGATCCTAGTTTTTATATATATATATATATAAATGCAACTCTAGCTAATTATAGAAGGTATGTTGAATTTATTGTGATTAAGTGAATACAATATTCTACAATAATTGATTGAACATCGGAGCATCCTCGACTGGCACCGCAACGATGCCATTCGTCGTGACTATCATCCATTTATTTTGCCCGAAACGTTGGATAGTGCAAATTTTGGCATGAAGAAGAATAAAATACATCATCCTCCCTTGTAATGTACTAATGACCTAAGTTATGTCCAAATTGTAAATGTCAGGTCAGCTAAAAGTTAAGAGAATGCATCTATAAATTTTTATGAGGTGATAAGGAAAGAGCAAAAGGAATACAGTAGAAAGAACAAATTTCTATACATTGGGCATGTTTGGCAACCGCTTTTGCTTTGTACTTTTTGCTTTGACCTATTTTTGTTTTAAAGTGTGTTCAACACTATTTCGAAATTTGTTTGGTAACGAAAATTTGTTACAAGATTTTTGGAAGCAAAAACATGAAGCATGTTTGGTAAAAAGTGTTGCAAGTTTGAAAAAATTGAATGGCTAGTTAAAAATATCATTTTAGAACGAAAAATAAATATATTTTTTTGAACAAAGCTTTGCTACAGGGCTGAAACAAACAAAAATATCATTTTTATGCTTCCAATTTTGGCTTCAATTTTAGAAGCATTTCGGTACTATTCAAATGATAGCAAATGTTACTAAACTACTAAATATGCTTCGTGTTTTTGCTTCACTACAGTACACTATTAAAAGCAAAAAACACGAAGTAGCTTATTAGTCAAACCATAAAAAAGAGATGGAAACGGGAAATTTTTCTGACTCGTCATTACATTCCATACTTAAAGGTCGTATTAAATCCCTCGCTTTCCTAATTATATTTACCTTATATTTATAGTCTTAAATTTTGATTGCTTTTGTTAACATGCAAAAATACGTAAGGATTAAAAGAGTTTAAGTTTTAAGTACTAAATCTGTAATGTTTGATTTCCTTCGATGGTAAATTTTATTCAATTTATAAAAAATTAAGCAGATTCTTGCTCAACATATTTAGTGGCAAGTGAAGTTTAATTTATGCAAAATTGTTGAATTTTTTTTGAATTTTTTTTAAGTGACGCTCAAATTACATTATGAAATGCACTTGATCAAAAAGTTATCTATCTAATATTCAATTTTAGATATTGGATTGGTTTATCAAAAGAATTTATGTTAATTTTTCAATGAAGATTTGTTAATGTTCAAGTGCAGGTGATGGATAAAACTCGGTTTTCCACTACAGTTGTAGTTCTTTCGCCTGATAAGGTTCCTTGGTATTTGTCTCTTATTTATGCTAGTTCGGTTTACCGTGTTCGGGCTTCGCAGTGGGAGTATTTAGTTTACCGGGCTGCCTCTTGGTCTACTTGTTAGTTACTAGTTGGCGATTTTAATGACATTTTACATGCATCTGAAAACCATGGGGGATGGGTTAAACAGAGTTGGCAGCTTAGTGTTTTTTTGTAATCTGGTCGACCAGTGTGCTTTGTTGGATATTGGATTTGTGGGTTTTCCTTTTACTTGGTCTAATTAGAGGGATGGCCTATCCAATATTCAGTAGCGCCTAGATCGAGCTTTGGCTACTAAGGATTGGATCTCTTTTTTTCTAAATGCTCAAGTTTCCCATCTACCGGTTGGGGGTTCCGATCATTTTACGTTGCTTATTCAACTTCAACCATTGATTCGCCCTCGGAAACAACAGTTTTATTTTGATGGTCGTTGGACTATGCTAGATGAGTGTCGAAATATTATTGATTTAGCTTGGTCTTCACCGATTCAGGGTTCTTGTCAATTTCAGTGGGCTCAAAAATTGCGGCAGTGTAAAGCTGATTTTATTCATTGGGCGAAGCTTAAGGATTTCAATTCTCAAGTTCGCATTAATTGGGCTACTGAGCGGCTAAGGTAGTTGAAAGCTCAGACTTCTGATTATTGTCATGCTGAGGTGGTGCAAGTGGAAAAATATTTATGTTCATGTTGGTTGGATGAAGAACTATATTGGAAGCAGAAATCTCGGGCTTTGTGGTTATGGGAGGGGGATCGTAATACTAAGTTTTTCCATATTACTGCCAAACGTAGATGTGCTCGAAACACTATCTCGGGTGTGTATGATGAATGGAATCAGTGGGTCAGTGCGGAGCCAGCAGTTCATTATGTTTTCTTGTGTTTTTTCCAGCGCTTATTTCAATCTTCCTATCTTACAAATATTGACCAATTTTTGCAGCATATTCCTTACTGGATTTTAGAGGCGATGAATGTTGATCTTTTGGTGGACCTGTCGGAGGATGAAGTGAAACAGGCCGTGTTTTCTATAGCCCCAATAAAGGCCCCTGGCCCTGATACGATGACTCCACTTTTTTATAAAAAATACTGGGAAGTAATTAAAGGTGATGTAGTTCGTGCTGTTTCTAGTTTTTGTGCCCCGGGGAATTTATTGTCTTGTTTTAATCATACCAATGTTGTGTTGATTCCTAAAATACATTCCCCTACCTAGGTCGGTCATTATCTGCCTATTTCCTTATGCAATGTTTTGTATCGGATTATAGCTAAAATTATGACTAATCGTTTGAAAGGGATTATTTAATCCCTTATCAGTGAGTCCCAGTGTGCTTTTATTGTAGGTAGACATATCACGGATAATATTTTGATTACTCATGAGCTGTTGTATTTTTTAAAAAATAAACGAAAGGGCCGTAAAGGTTTTCTGGCACTGAAGCTTGATATGAGCAAGGTATATGATCGGATTGAATGGGGTTTCTTATTGCAAATGCTGCACCGGCTGGGGTTGAATGCTTATTGGGTTAAAATGATTTCTACTTGTATTTCTACTGTGTCTTATTCTCTTAAAATTAATGGGAATTCTGTTGGCTTATTCTATCCTTTGAGGGGTTTGCGCCAAGGTGATCTTCTGTCACCATGTCTTTTTATAATTTGTGTTGAAGCTCTTTCCATTGCCATTTTGCGTGTATAACAAGCCCAGCTGTTATTTGGCATTCAAATTTGTCGGGGATCTCCTTCTATTTCTCACCTTTTTTTGGCAGACGACTTAGTTGTGTTTTGTGCTGCGGTGGAACCCGAGGTTCGGGTTTTGAAATGTCTTTTGGCTGATTATGAGTCTGCTTCTGGCCAGCAAGTGAATTTTAGTAAATCATCTATATTTTTCTCTAAGAATGTATGTGATTCAATGCGTCGTTTTATTACTCACTATCTTGGTTTGCAATTGACTGGTTGGCATAATAGGTATTTGGGCGTGTCGGCTCTTTTGGGACAGTCTAAGCGGGATGTTTTTCAGTTCTTTCTTTCTAAAATGAGGGACCGTTTGTCTTTCTAGAAATCTAAAACCTTGTCGGCGGGCGGAAAGGAAGTGCTTGTTAAGGCGGTGTTGAGTGTTTTGCCGACGTATGTGATGTCTTTGTTTAAGCTACCTCATACATTGTGCTTGGATTTGATGAAGCATATTCGTGCCTTTTGGTGGTGCAATAAGAATAAACCTCGTGCTATCCATTGGGACCTGTTATGTAGGAGTAAGAAGAGTGGTGGCCTTGGTTTTCGGGACTTCGAGGCATTTAATTTGGCGCTTTTAACAAAACATGCTTAGCTTTCAGGTTCATCAGAAGGGCCTGTTGTTTCAGTTATTGAAAGCTAAGTATTTTCCTTCATCATCTTTTTTGGATACGCAGTTGGGCTATAATCTTTCCCGGGGGTGGCGCAGTATTTGGTCTTCACATCCTTTATTGCGTTGTGGGTTGGGATCTTTGATTGGAAATGGTTTTTCTACACGTATTTGGGATAATCATTGGGTTCTTACGCTTTCTCAGAAGATTCCACCTCTGCAACGTGATGTTCCATTTTTTTGGATGGCCAATTTAATTGATTCTAATACCCGTACTTGGAAGACGGATGTCTTGCGTTGCTTGTTTTCTCCTCTTGTGGTTCGCGAAATTCTGAAACTGCATATCAATTGTTGGGATAAGCCAGATGTTCTTATATGGGGCCTGAACGGTTGGTTTTTTTTTTTTTTTTTTTTTTTCTGTTTGTTCAGCTTATCAGCTTGCTTTCTCGATGACTAATTTTTTAGGCGTTCTGGTTTCTTCTGTTTTGTGGACTTCTATATGGCGTTGTCACACCTTATCTAAGGTGCAACATTTCCTTTGGTGGTGCTGTCATCAAGCGTTGCCCATTGCGGTCTCCTTGATGGCGAGGGGCTGTGGTGTGTCATCGTTGTGGTGGTTCGGAGGAGACTGTGGTGCATATTTTATTCCTGTGCCCTCATTTTTTACAAGTTTGGAAGTTGTCACCTTTCCGGTTTGATTTTTCCAATGCTCATCTTTCTTCTTTTTGGGAAGGTTGGTCTTTTTTTGTTTAGGCGGCTACCCATTCTTCTGATTCTGTGGGCGTTCTGAGTTTGATTTCCTTCTGTGCTTGGGGCATTTGGAAGGCAAGGAACCGCTTAGTGTTTGAAGGGGTGCTCTGGGGGCCTGACTTGGTTGTGGAGCGTGCGGCAGCAAGTTTTTGGGAATTTCAGGATGCCAAGTCTCAATGTCTTGCTGTTCATCCGGCTTCATCTATGCCTTTGGTGGGTTCTTGGATTGCGCCTCCGCCTAGACAACTTAAGTGTAATTTCGATGCTTCCTTTTGTAAGGGTTTGTCCTTGGGAGGGGGTGGGGCAGTTTTTCGGGATTTTCGCGGCATGGTTCTTTAGGCTATTGTCTTCACGCAGTTTCCTGCCTCTTCGGCTCTGATTACAGAGGCTCTTGCTTGTCAGCGTGCAGTGTTTTGGGCATCGGAGTTGGGTTTTTATTGCGTTTGGTTTGAATATAATTCTAAGGCTGTTGTTGAAGGAGTGCAGAATAAAGCTATGTCGCTATCTGAAATTGCTTCTCTCTGTTTTGATATTCGGCGGGACTTGCAGCTGTTTCAGTCGGCGTCTTTGTCTCATGTTCGTCGTTCTGGCAATAGGGTTGCTCATGCTTTGGCTCAGCTATCCTCATCTTCTCTCCAACTGGATCACCTTTTCTCGTCGATTCCTTCTTCAATTCATCGGCTTGCTCTGGAGGATGTTGGGTTGTTGTTGTTTTAGGCTTTTTGGCTCGGTTGTCATGACAAAAAAAATAAATAAATAAAAATAAATAAAATAAAAAATAAAAATGAAGATTTGACAAAAGGAGATTAATTACAAATTTTTAATAGTTTTTGCAGTTATTTGGCAGTACAAGATTTAGTTCAAGAATTAATTATGAAAAATCATAGTTAACAAACGTCAGCTTTAACTTTATTTATTATTTATTATTTATTTATTTATTTTTTATGACGTGAGAACCCTCGCCGCTACCTCCCTTCGGGCTGAAGCTACGAGGTAAACCTCCGGCTGTCGACGCCGGCCTTACATTGTAAGCAATAAGGTAAGTTAGGGAGAATAATGAGGATGAATGGGTTCGAACCTGCCGACGTCAGCTTTAACTTGTTATCAATTATAAAGTTATCCTGAATTAAAAGATTTTTATGACCTATTAAGTTCTTTTTGTTTCAGTTAAAAAATAGTCAAAATCGAGACTGTAATGAGACCACCACAAATTAAACAATGTTCTATTATTATTGTTGTTGTTGTTTTCTTTCTCAATCCAACCCATTGCTGAAAATCTTCCAGCAGTTGAGTTGTTCCCTGTTTTCCTTTTAACATTCTTATCAAAAAAATTTAAAGAAAAAAAAAATGGCATCACTTGTCCATAATTATATTAAAATAATTAAGAAAGAAAAGGCTAGTCTATTTTTCGCCAAATCCTCTGGAGGCTTATAGTTTTGCGTCTTATGAGTCATGACTTGATCATATTATATAATATTATATACTACCCGTCCAAAAATAGTGTCCACAACACTTCTAAACGTATACATGCAAATTATATATATTATATACTACCCATCCAAAAATAGTGTCCACAACACTTCTAAATGTATACATGCAAATTATATATATATCTTATGTACTACCCGTCCAAAAATAGTGTCTACATTGTGAGTCACAGATACCAATGTGGACACTACTTTTGGGATCATTGGAAGTTTGAGAAACATTGTTGATAGGGCTGTGTTTTGGGTGGAGGTACCAAGAGGAGGATAGGGAGGAAGAGATCAGAATAATTTACCAAAAATATATATACACCTTCTGCCACAGTGAGGCAGACTCAACTTGTATGCACAAATTTAGAAGATTAGAAAAGCAAAACATCTCTCACAAACACCACACACACACACAGTGATCTACCTCTATAATTATTGTCGCTGAGTCCCAATAGCATTGATCCTTCAACAATGGGCAGCCAAAGTTGCTACCCCAGGACTACTAAACTTCTATAATGTACTTTGTTAGCAATGATTTTATATGCAATTGTGAATCAATTATGACAGCCAACAATAGACTAAACATTCAGTCTGATACAAGTACTGTCCAAGACAATGTATTGCAATCAAATACGATACAAAATATCACAGTTGACGAATGAAAAAAATACAAATGGGAAAGACTTCGCGTATAATGTTAACAAAACGGTACTATATAATAGGAGAATCTATATGCTGCCTCCATAAAAAGACTCCGAACTGAGGGCCAACCTCGGGTAAGCTCAAGCATTCCAACCATTGCAACCATGACAGCAAATGCAAGGCGAAGGAAAACCCATTAGTTGCAGCAATGCAGAGTTCTTGAAATTTTGGGGCAAGAAGTGGATTATAATCCATCACTCATCAAACCTTTTCTCCTGCAGTTAGCTAGAGCAGCAACCAACTTTTTTCACAGCTGAAACATCATCCTTGGTCCCAACATTAATGTTTTTCCCTTTAGGCAAGGCTGCAGGGTCATCCCCAATATCAAGCGCTTTCCGGCTGACCACACGATATATCTGGCTGAGCACTTCTGTGAATGCATTTTCAACATTCAACGACTCAAGGGCAGATGTCTCCATGAAGAAAGTGGTCTCCCTTTCAGCAAAGGCCTTTGCGTCCTCGGTGGAAACAGCACGTAGGTGGCGCAAGTCTGCTTTGTTCCCCACAAGCATTATCACAATGTTATTATCTGTGTGATCCCGGAGCTCCTTCAACCATCTCTCAACATTCTCAAACGTGACATGTCTGGTGACATCATACACAAGCAATGCCCCAACAGCTCCTCGGTAGTATGCACTTGTGATTGCACGGTATCTTTGACAAAGAAAATGAAATATAACTAAAAAGGACCGATCATAATCACAGTGGAGAGACAGCAAATATTTACTTTCTTGTATCCCAACAGCACCCAAAAAATTAACCAACCAGGCTAAAGTTATGAAAGTGGGAAACTGTAAGACAACAATTTATATATATAAGTAGGAACTTCAAGATAATGTCAAACAGAAAACCCTACATAACAGATGGATTTGGACAACGAGACTCCTATTCAGATTATATTTAATGCAGACAATATTCCTATAAATCTAAGGCAATCCAGACAAAACCACTTCTTTCATTGGCCAGAAAGAAAAGAAAAACCAAGGGGTGCCAAGAGAAAATAGGACACCAACTGTGAAATTTATATACCAAATAGTTCATTTCATGGCATCCAATTCTTCCAGTAGTATTGTTCTGCCTGATTCTCAGATCATCGTTACAGAAGCATTATCTTCACAAGCAGACATTAAGTGTTAATAAAAATGTACTCCGCCTGGTTGGTTAAATGTTGTTAATGAGAATAGTAATTCATTATTCTTAACAATAGGTCCCGGAGACTTTTTGGTTCATCATGCTATTGCTCTAGGTTTAAACCTAATTTCGATTAAAAAAAAAAAAAAATCCAAACAGAAACAGTGAGGACAGAAGAAAGTCTCAGGCATCAATTAATACATTTCGAATAAAAAGTTCATCCATGTGCCTGCAATTTCATTCTATCATGTCAGAAGACTATTCTTCCCGAGTTAGTCAAAGCATGAGCGCCATGCACAATCATGTTCTACCTTTTCATTTTCTCTAGTTTTGTGCTTCAAAGCATCTATACCACAAAAATTATCTCTTAAGCATTTTTTAGGTACATCCCGTCATATTCTTTCATAATATCAAATTTTAACACGTTCATTTTATTTGTGCTTTCACATTTTCCAGTCTCACTATAAATTTTAGTTTTTAAAGCTAACATTCTTTTAGTCAAGGGTATAATATCAAATACAAACTTACTAACCCTTTTCATCAAACACCAGAAACCTCTGCAACACCCTCCTCTTTCCTCCACCGCCGCCTTCATCATTAAATTGCTGCCATCAACTTTCATCCCATTCTACTGTAAAAATAAAATTTCCAATATATATGTGTATATATATGGAAATCACCACCTCTCAGCTCTGCTGGCTAGATACTATGTCTATTCCCCTCAAACCCAACTCAGTACCAAAAAGAAACAAAACTATAAATAACCACCACCTTCATCAAACCATCACCAAACCCCCACAGCCACCCTCCACCATGATTCAACCATTTTTGGCCAAACCCACCATCACTTCCCTCCAAACAACAAACTCTGTTATCATTAATCCATACAATAACCAATATCCAATAATGTTCACAATTTTTTTTTTTTTTTTTTTGATAAGTCAATAATGTTCACAGTTCACACAGAGAAATCAAGACAACAACAACAAAATAACTCTTCCACACAAACTCTCCATCCCCCACCAAACCCATCCCCATTGATGGCCTGCTGTCCGCTAGCAATCATAATTTGACACCCAATTTCCATCATAAACTACCTTTGATTCATTATCAAAATCTCAGACATAGAACCTTCAATACCACTTATAATCTCTGACCTTCGCTAATACTAAAGCATTCATGAAGGAGTGTTTATGCCATGGCTCCAATTTCTCCTACCAGGTAACCATAGTGATCGACAGCAAAATAATTTAGAACATTACTAAAAGTTAAAGATTACCTAGTGCTAGTTTGCCATAAGGATTGCAGTGTGTACAAAGCTAAACTTTGACAATTTATTTTTTCAAAATTTAAAACTTTGACAATTTATGTATATATAAAGGCTGCATACCCTAAAACCTACTTGTTCTTAATTTGTTACTAGCGCAAAGAACCCTTCGAATTGTGGGGGAAGAAAAAAGGGGGAAAAGTGAAACATTTTTTCTCCAGTCTCGATCTAAAAACCTAGCATTACTACACTACAAAATAAATAAATAATCATAACCCTCTTGTGGTTGGCAAGAAAGCTGAGACAAATAACAGCATACAACTTCGAATTTAAGACTACGGAGAATTAAACATTTCCTACATTTTCCAAGAAACCAAACAGAAAATTATCGAACACGAAACTTTAGAGAAAGAAAATCGAAGTGAGGATGAGGAAAGTACCTTTCTTGTCCAGCGGTGTCCCAAATCTGAGCCTTGACGATCTTATCATCGACTCGAATACTCCGAGTAGCGAATTCGACTCCGATGGTGGATTTGGATTCAAGACTGAACTCGTTCTTGGTAAACCGCGACAGCAGATTCGATTTACCCACACCGGAGTCTCCGATCAGTACAACCTTGAACAGGTAATCATAGTCATCGTCGGCTCTGTATGCCGCCATTTATATATCTGTAATCCCTTTTGTAACTTTCACAAATCAGATCAACACTTCAGAATTCCGATATATATATATATATATATTGAATTGTTGTTATATGTATGGAAGAAACACATACAAACTCATAGGTATGTTGCTAGAGATAGAAAAATAGCAGAGGAGAGAGAAAGAGAGAGATGGGGCTCGTGAAGGCGCGGGGGTTCAGAGTTCAAGAAGGCGAAGCTGGAACAACGTCAATCCAGGTTGGCAAGTAACAGATTCTTCTCTCCGTAAAAAGTAAAAAGTAAAAACAGTTAAAAATTAATCTTACCATGTTTGGGTGGGCTCTTCGCATAGTTACTAAATACTAACGATAACTATAATTAACTTTCATTTGCTGTACAAACAACTCAACCAAATCGCACGCACGTATATTATTATTATTACTTTAACCTCCTTTAAAATTTAGTGGTATGTTCAAGTCAATTTATTAATCAAATTTTATAGACAATTTTGTTATTTCTTTGTAAGAATTTTGTTTTGAAATTTAGATAAATTATATATGAGTAATAAATATATGTAATTATTAATTAATTTTTACACTGAAAGTCATCTTTACGCAACTGCCAACAAATTTAGGAGAAGTTAAAATAATAAATAGGGTAAAGTGCAAAAAACCCCCCGAAGTATGGGCCATTGTCAAATAACTTTCCTGAACTACAAAAAAAAAACCCTTTGAACTATCAAATTATTGCAATTAAGAACAACAGTAAATTTTCTTGGCAAACTTTCTTACCGGAAATGTTAAATGACTTTAATGTTCTCATACAAAACGACGTAGTTTTATTAAACTTTATTAGACCTAAATTGAACCTAATGACATGGCAGATTGTAATCTGGAGAGCCAATAACAACTTAACACCTCAGCAAACACTTTATCAACAACCCTAGGTTTAAGGATTTGAACCACCTCAACTATATCTCATTCTCCCTTTGCGCCGACTACAACTACTATGGCTTTTGGAGACCGCCAAGCTTCTGAACCTAAGGATCGCGACTGAGAAGAAGTCAAAAACTGTAAGCGTACTTGATTTTTGTTCTTGAATCGGTAAATATATGATTATTAATTGCTAAATATTGTGTTAATCCACAAAAAGTAGTTGCGATTTACTAATCTCAACTATTATAGTGTTGTTGGGTACGATTTTCAGTCTAAAAAATGTTAGGATTTAGTACGATTTTCTATCTCAAAAATGTTACGGTTTAGTATTATAATTTGATTTTTTTTTTTTTTTCTCGAGTGTTGTACTATTTTTTGTTGAAGAATGTTCGGGTTTAGGATTCTTGTTATTTTTGTTATTTTTTTTTTCATCTGTGAATGGGACGTGATAATGGTGCATGGCTGTATAATTTTTGGTAGAAACATTTGGCTCAACATTGAACATTGTACCAATTTAAAGTTTACAGTAAAGAATCTTTCTGACAATTTTTTAAAAAAAATTTAAAGTTCTGTTTTGTTGTGGACCGACAGAAAATGACTTGTGATATGTACCCTATGTATAAAGTTATGATCTTGTTGTTCTTTATTGCATCAAATAATATATATGCTTTCACTATTTGTGTTTTATATGTTATGTTCTGTCATTAAGTGGCCCATTTTTTTTTTTTGTGCTTTAATCACTCTTGACTTGAGAATGTTAGTGCTGAAGTTAGTTAGTCTATATATATATATATATATATATATATATATATATATATATTTTACTCTTATTTAAGTGCTTTTGGACTTTTTGTCCCTATTATTGACATTTTTGAAATGTCAACAACTTTTTTAGTTGTTTAGTTTAATGTGTGTGTGATTAAAGTATTTGGTTATAATTTTTTATTTATTTACTGTTAAGTCAAGTGTAATTAAACTATGTGGGTTTATGTTATGTAGATGCACTTTTACAGCATTAAACTCCATCATGGGGGTGTGTTCTCTAAAACACCCCCTATGTCATACATAGGAGAATATTTCACTATGATTCCAACAGTTAACTCAGATATCATGTCATATGATGATATTCAAGAGATGGTAGATAACATGGGATATGGGGAGTTGGTTGAAGTGTTTTACAAAGTACCATTTTTAAAGGGTAGTCAAAGCTTCAGAGAGGTTAGGTGTGACTTGGATGTACTTAGGATGTTTTATGACTATGAAGCTGAGAGGGCAACAACCATTATCAAGTTGTACATTGTTGCACCTCTGTTGAATGTGCAAGGGGAAGAGATTCAGCTTCTAATAGCTAGCTCAGACTCAAATAGGTCAAGTGATAATACTTTTAAACAGATTTCAGATTATACTCCTTGTGATGAGTTAATCAGTTTATGTGGATCAAATGAGGAGGTTAGTGGTCCTAAGTACCCAGAATATCTTCCTTCAAGGGATTTGGATGTAAAAGAACTAGAATTAGGAATGAAATTTGGGATAGCTGAACACTTTAGATTGGCACTTAAAGAAGCAGCATTGAAGGGCAGGTTTGATATAAAGTTCAAAAGCAATGATGGTGATAGGATCTCTGTAGTATGTAAGGCTGAATGTGGGTGGAAAATATTTGCAAGCAAACCAGAAGGCCAGGATTGTTTGATAGTGAAGACATATCAGTTAGAACATACCAACTGCCTTTGGTTTCAAACTAATGGACAATCATCCTCTTCTTACTTAGCCACTAAGTACTTAAAGCAAGTGAGAATGAACCCAACCATACCTTGTGATACACTAAGGACCACTATTACTTCTGATATACAAATTGATGTGTCCAAACACAAAGTAAGAAGGGCAAAGAGAAAAACTATTGAATTCATTCAGGGAAATAAAGCAGAACAATATCAAGAATACTGTCATTTAGTATATACATCCAACCCTGGAAGTGTTGTTAAAATTCAAACTGAGCCTACATGCGAGGAGAATGTGAGGATATTTCAAAGGGTTTTCATCTGTTATGCTGCAATGAGGAAGGGTTTTAAAGAAGGTTGTAGGCAACTTATAGGTGTTGATGGTTGCTTTTTGAAGGGTTCATATGGTGGCCACCTTTTGAGTGCAATATCTATTGATGGGAATGAACAAATGTTACCAGTTGCAATTGCAGTAGTTGAGGCTGAGACAAGGGATTGTTGGAGTTGGTTTCTGACAGAACTGATGGAGGTTGTGGGGCCTTATACTGACATCATATTTATATTTGATAGACAAAAGGTCAGTATTTTACTACAGTGTGTTAATTTAAAATTTATTATTTTAAAATCTGTTATTTTACTACAATTTATTATTTTAAAATCTGTTATTTTAGTACAATTTGTTATTAATGCAGGGATTGTTTTGAAACTTTTGAGCATATCATGGAGGGTTCAGTCCATAGATATTGTGTGAGGCATTCGTATGAGAAATTCAAACTCATATTTAAAGGATAACAGTTGAAAATTGAGTTGTGGGAGACTGCAAGGTCATATACACAACCTGATTTTGATGCACATATGAGGAAGATAAAGGAGTTGAATGTTGAAGCTTATGGTTGGTTTCAGAATGTGCCATCTCAAATGTGGTCAAGGTCAAGTTTCACAGACCAATCAAAAAGTGATATGGTGATCAATAATATTTGTGAAAGTTGGAACGCTGTGATTTTTAAAGCCAATGATAAACCAATTATTTATATGTTAGAGTGGATCAGGAGGCATCTCATGCTGAGATTCCAACAGAATAGGGAGTGGATGGAATCAAAGGATAGCTTATTGTGTCCAGATATTCAAAACAAATTGAACAAAATGAAAAAGGCAGCAAGGATGTGCAAGGTGCACTATGCTGGTGATAATAAGTTTCAGGTTGAGTGTTTTGGTATCAGTGGGGCAGTTGATCTTGGAAATAAGAGTTGCACCTGCAGGGTATGGAATATGATTGGTATCCCTTGTAGACATGTTGTAACATGCATTTTTACAAGGAGAGGGGATGTTCCTGAATCATATGTTAATCCATGCTATCATAGAGAAACCTATTTGAAGGCATATGCTGGTTTAATGAATCCATTTCCCATGACAAAGTTGCTGAAATCACAACCCAGTGAGCAAATGCTTCCACCAATCTATAGGAAACCTATTGGTAAACCAAAAAAGTCAAGGAATAAGAAAAATGATGAGCCAACCAAGGTTAATACTTCAAATGATGAGCCAACCAAGGTTAGTACTTCAAGCAAGCCAACCAAGGTTAGTAGGTCAAAGGATATGTTGACATGTTCAAACTGCAAGGAGAAATGCCATAACTCAAGGACATGTAACTCCCTGAACCTGGGGTCATTGAGAAACCTCCTCCAAAAAAGGGAGGCAGACCACCAATACTTAGAAGAGGAAGAAGAATACCATTAAGAGGAAGGGGCAGGAGAAGTGCAAGAGGTGGAACAACTGCTGTTGGAAATGAAATTCCTACTGCAATTCAGAGTCAAGAGGTGCATATTTAAGTTGTATTTTTTTTTTCTTCGTTTAACAATGAAATTCTTACTGAAATTCCTACTGAAATTCCTAACTTGTGTATGCTCTTAATAGGTTCATAACATACCATTTTCACAGTTGTTATCAACACAGGCATCCAGTTCTAGGTGTGTTTCATTCTCATGTCAACTTCATAATATGTTAATGTATAGACATATTAATAAGTTACTTATTTTCCCAACTTCTTTACAGGTCCATGATGGACAGTGATTATGCTTCATGGTAGACATGAAGAACTGGAAGTATTTTTGGTGTGGTTGGTACTGAACTTATGATAACTAGTGTTGACATGAAGAACTGAAAGTATTTTTTGTTTCATTGTGTCTGTTGACATATAACATGTATTTAGTTAATGTAATGTAAGAATGTTTTAAGTATTTGGATGTTATGTAAGAATGTTAAGTACATTGGTTATGGCTATTGTAAGAATGATTTGGTTTTATGGCTATTGTAAGAATGATTTGGTTATGTAAATTCAGTTTAGTATGCTAGCTTATAATGGCCATATGTTATTATTGCATGGAGTTATGTCAATACAGGTAGTAAGTGCCTAGTCCAGTTCAGTAATGGTTGTTGAAAATTGTTGACTAATATGAATACAGGTAGTAAGTGTAGGTATTTACTCATGATGTGAATACAGGTAGTAAGTGCAGGTATTTATTCATGATGTTAAAAATTATTTCAGTGATGTGAATATAGGTGCTTTTAGTGTCAATAAATGGTATTGAATCCATAAGTGCTTAATTGCTTCGTGTCAATGCATTGCAGGTCAATTAGTGTCATAAACTGATTTTTCTATAATGCATTGCATCTTAATTGGTGGTGTTAATGCATCTGATTTTGTTGTAAATGGAACTTTAAAATATATTACAATGTCAGCATAACCAACAAGATACCTAACAGATGCCACAACTACAAAACACATCACAAACAAAATCACAAAACACATCATTTCAGATACACCTGCAAAACCCGACAAAATTTTCATTTTCATAAAAATTGAAACAATTAAAACTAAAAAACACATCACAAACAAAACCATGCTACTAATATACATAGTTTTTACAATTTGAATGAACTCATTCAATGGCAGTCCATCATTCACAAAACTTGGTGAAGGAGGTAGACCAACTAGGCGAGGTGCTGGAGCTGGTGCTGGTACTTCAAGTGCTGGTACTTCATCTTGGATACCAGGTTTAACCTACCACTCCCAGAGCGTACAAGGATGAAATTCCTTTTTGCATTTAAAATATAGTTTACCCCCGATTGTTGTTGGACTCAGATTTGTATACATCAGCCTTGGCACCACAAAAACATTTCCTATTCTTGAACACACCTCTTTGAATGCCAGAATTGTAAGAGGATTCACCAGTTGACCTCATCCTTTGCAATACTCCGTATATATCTATGTATATATGTGGATGGTAGATGATAGAGATAGAGAAGAGATCTTGCAGGTCGAGACCAATAATCCGTATATATTTTGCTGGAATCGTGATCAAGGGACAGAGATCGTGATCGAGAGGGACAGAGATAAGAGAGAGAGGGACAGATCAAGAGAGAGAAATCAAATTACTATATATATAGACACAATTACAAATTAGGGTAATTGATTTGGGTAATAAGGGCTTTTTGGTATTTTTGTATGACAAGGGTGAAATGAGCATTTAGAAAAAGAGTGGTTTACACGCGCCTGATTACGGTCAAAAATTTTATGCCGGTCACCGGAGTGGGTAAATTGTAACGAAGTATAATAGTTCATGGGGTTAATTGCATTTTTTTAGTTCAAGGGGGTTTACTGCATTTTGGCCCATACTTCAGGGTTTTTTTTTTGCACTTTACCCTAATAAATATTGATCAAACTGTCATATATAATGTGTTCAAACTTTATGCAATGTTAATGCCATTAATCCATTTATAATTGGGCAAGGATTGAGAGATTTTTAAAGAAATACATCCACTTTATGTAAATCTTCTTAAAATACACTACCAAGTCAAAATTATATTTTATTACTCTTTTAAGTTGGTTGATTATTAAGTTTTCAATTCAATAAAATGACTTCTCTCTTCCCCTCCCCCTTCAAGGTTACCTACTAAGTTAAAAATTGTCCAACTTCTCATTATATTTTTCACTTGATGACTAAGGATGCATGGCTTAAATCGTGCTATATGATTTTGGTGGAAAACAAATATAAGTATAAAGTTAAAAAACAAAAAGATTAAAAAATAATTTTTTTTTAAATACGTCTTAGTATTTAGTCACTTAGGTGATTTTTGATCAAATTAAAAATTAAGTATTGAAAATTATAAACAGTGAAGTTTGTTTTATTATATTTTTAAAAAAAATTCAGGGTTTAACATTTAGTGATAAGTGTCGTCTTTGTCACTTAAAATTTTACCACATTTTAAGTGGTGCTTAGCGTTTTTAGTTATATTCAATTTGCGTTAGCAAACACAATTAATTTAATAAGTGTTTAATTTATTCAGAATTAAGCACTGATTGAATTATCAAATAACACCTTAGTGATACGCCACCATCTCAAACGACATGGTGTGCCTCCAATAACATAACGATACAAATTTTATGGATGGTGCATTTTCATTGGGTCTGATGTACCAATGGCACGGTCTACCTTGTACACTTAATATATACTCGTGTAAAAGAAAAGAAAAAAATCATCAATTATAACTTGACATGCAAATAATAATCTGAATAAAGTAGACTCATTTAATTACGTGTTGAGTTGTAATTAGCTGACTCTATTTAATTCCGGACCATATAAAAATTTCTTTCAGTCAAAGAAACTACTCCTTCCTCTTTTCAGTGAGAAATTATGATGATTTTGCATCATGTAATAATTTATCATTTTTTCCAATGGTTAATAGAGAAACCACTAAAAGAGGCCCTTGGGTCTTCATTTGGGCAAGTCAAAGCCCAAAAGGACCTGGATATTCAAAACCTTGGTGGGCTGGGCCCAAGATCTGTTGTTCCAGCCCGTTTTGGCAGTATTTAAATATAAATTGCGTTCGTTTTCACCATCAAAATCATATTAGCACCTGTACTTCGCTCCTCAAAGGTTCGGAGATTCCTACCATTCTATGGCTGCATGTGAGTCCCCCTTCCTTCATCTCTATATGTGTGTGTTAGTGTGTGCTTAAATATAGTTTGCATATTAGTGTCTGACTCATATTATCATCTTGTTTCTATGAGCAGTTATCTGATTTTTATATTTTTATATTTTATATTTTAAATTTGAATAGTGAATTAGGGTTCTTCCTCTCTGTTGCTTATTACTATACATCTTCATTCTTTTGGATTTCAATCGATTACTTATTTAGGAACAGCACATTATACACATATATAGATATGGGTAGGTAAGAGTACATTATATTTTGTTGATACTACAATTTATTTAATGGTTGTGTTCTGGGTTCCTAAATCAGGTGGTTTTGGAGCTTCAACTGTTAAAGTTTCAAATTTGGGATTTGTAAATACCAAATTGGGTACACTGCAACAATTGCATGGTCTAAGAACTCGAGTGCCAATACGATATAGGGGATTGGTGATTTCGCGGAAGTTGAAGAAGGCATTAATTGGATGCCATTCTTTGTCTTCCAAAGCCGAAGGTAAGTGATTTTCAACTATACAGTGATTATATACACTACCAGAGTTAAGATCTTTTTGGATCATTCAATAACTACAATTGAGTTGCATCAAAATGAATATATATCTGCACACGTTGGGCATGCTAAAATTTATGCCTGATGTCGAATTTCAAGAAGATTGGTCCAGACGATATGCAAATTTTATTATTATTTTTCAAAGGTACATACAGCTTATAAGGGTATTTAGTAAATTTATGCAATAATTTAAGAAATGTGATTGAATCGTTTATATTAGTTATGTTGATATTCATTTGTTCAGTAAATTTGTTTGTTAGCATTCATTTGGGTATCGATCCTTACATTAAGATAACTTGCTAATTATTTATGAAAATGTATTGGTTGAAGAGGATACCGTGGTAGTTATAAAGGACCCAGGAAAGGGATTGGAGTGTGATGATATCAGGTTGGCATGAAGTTACACGAAGTTCACTGCTCTACAGAAGCTGTAATTGTTTCATGTTTCTTTTTTGTTGTTTATAGAATTTCAAATGATTCATTATTATTTTTACTCTTGTTGCTTGCATGTTGAATTTTGAGATCCTTGGATTATGTGAAAACAGTTGCTAAAGACACTTTTGTACTCCAAAAACAATTGATTGAAACTATAACCTTTGAACTACGATGGTAAAAGTCATTTTCGTACTTCTACTAAAACTTTTCTACCTGCCAATTAAAAGTTTGTATATATGTATATATGATTTGTGTTGTTGTATAATGTGTACATATTTTATGTAGCCATGACCAAAAAGTGAAAAACCCTTACACTTCTGTGACCCTCAGACCCTTAGGCAAGTTCTCACACAAAGTTTGCTAAAAACCCTTACACTTCTGTGACCCTCAGACCCTTAGGCAGGTTCCCACGCAAAGTTTGCTCCTAAAACATGGCCAACTGAATTCCTTTGGGCGGCACATGAAACTTTTGATTTACTGATTTTTAATGGTTAGATTGCTACTTGAAGCTAAACATTGGAAGTGTACAGCATAGACAAAAAGATATGTTACTAAAATTGTAATTGTTCACTTTAAGTTGACCCCGGGAACATTCTCTAAGAAGTTCTATGGAATGTCCGTTTTAATACTATATCACCAAGTTCATTCCAACAAACGCAAATAATAGAATTGGTAGCGTGCAATGTGATTCTGGGCAGGAAAACTTCTTTTTATTTTTATAAGCCTGGGCAACCAAACTTGTCTTGATGATTGCGTTATTTTCACTCCATAATTCACAACCTTATGTGCTTGACAAATCACATTGATAACCCACTTTACTTTATTTTCCTTTTCTGATATATAACATTCTGTGGTTTATGATGTGTAAAAGCATGGCTATGTTGTTCTATTGCGATAAGAAAAAGCTCTATGGTGTGTTGTTTCCCAAAATGGGTATTCTATATGTTCCTTTGATTGCTTTGTCTAGCTTATTTGATTCGTTCTTTTATTAATGACATAGCAGATGCTACAAATTTAGAAAATGATTCTGAAGAAGCAAAATCATCTGATATGATAAGCCAACTCATTCCAAACTCGTTTGAGGTAAGCTCCTTGCTATTTTACATAGTACTAAATTTTACCACCTGATCCTTCTTTTTGTCCCACTGCTGATGGTCTTTAAAGTTAAGAGGATTTGTATGAACTATTGTTATAGGCCAATTTATATTTGTAGGAGTTGTTTTTAGAAAGGAGAATTTTTCGTTTTAGAATAGTTGTGGAACATGTTTACACCATGTGAAGGGTGGGGTTGTTTTGGGTGGGGGAGGAAGAGGAGGGTTTACACTAGTTTGTATTTCTAGTTTTGCACAGGAGAGGCTACTTAATGTTCATTCACCGCTAGGATTACACATTACTGCATGCATGCTCTGAGATGGAGGCATACACTGATGTGCTTTTTCTAAAAGTTTGAAAAGGTTATCTTACTCAAATCTTGTTTGCAGGTTGAATCTCTTCTCACAGAAATATGTGATACGTCAATTGCGGAGTTTGAGTTGAAAGTGAGCAATTGCAAATTCTTTTTCTCTTTTTCTTTGAAGTCATAAATTCTTTTTAACTTGAACAGAACTTCAATTCTCGTGTTCTTTTTTGTTCTTTTTTCCTATATATTCATATCTCTCTCTCATTGTTAGTTTGGTGGATTTCGGTTGTACGTGACAAGGGACTTGACTGTGAAAAATATACCTCCACCACCTCCAGTTTCTGCTCCCGACAACGTGAATACAACCTCTCAACCTGACTTGAATGGGTCAGTTTCTACACATTCTTTAGCCATCACCAAACGGGTTTCTTCTTTTGGTGGCATTCAAACATTTCTTGATAAAGCTGCTGATGACAGCCTGGCAATACTTCAGTCTCCAAAGGTGAGAATACAAGTTAATGTTTTTCAGTTTCATTTCTAAATTTTGTCACTAAATCTGTTAGAGATGCAGGTTGGATATTTTAGGAGATCTCGAACCATAAAGGGGAAGCGCGCCCCGCAATCATGCAAAGAGGTATCCACTTTGACGATTTTGGCATTTGCCTTTATTCATAAATTATTGAATTCTTAATTTATGTGAACTCAAATGTGTCAGAAAACCACATAGAAATTGAGTTATTTATATTGTCTGTTGTAGCAATGGCAATGAATCTTTTACTACTAGTCTACTACCGCTTTGGATTTGTTCTTTGTTTGAGACATTTGACATAATTTATTTATTTTTATTTGGGTAAATTGCACTGACTCCCCTTGAGGTTTTGGTCAACACCACTTAGCGGACGGTCAACGGCTTTTTTTACATTGACACCCCTTGAGGTTTCAAAAATGTGTATTAACACCCCCTCCAGACCTCTGAGACAATATGAAATTACCTTTTAACCCTTTGACTTGTCAATATAGGTACAAAACCCTTTTAACTAAATTTGAATGACCAAAATAACCTCCATTTCCCATTGTCATTTACCAACTATAGCTTATTCATCATCACAAATAAAAAATAAAAAAAAGGCCATAAAAGAACCAGAAAATGAACACATCGACTGGTTTCTGATCAAAACCACACTCGATACAACACACGCATATTCGAATGGTTTTTGATCAGAACCAAACTCATCGATCTCAAGACCTAACTCACCAACCTCTCTAATTCACCTCCCAACTCTGTCTAGCACTCCTCCGCTTCATCTCCCATACCCTTTCCAACTCACTCTCTCTCAGAGGCCTCACAATCCATTCCTTCCCGACGGCAAGCTCAAGACCCAATACATCGTTGATTCGGTCTCGGCGAAGTCAGAGGGGAAGCTCAAGACCCAGAACGACATCGATTTGGCCTTGGTGAAGTTGGACCGTCACATTAGGGACGCCGACATTTTGATCAAGAGCGGGGTCCTCCACAACGATGTCGTTCTGAGGTCGTTGTCATCGAAGAGGGAGTCCGTACGAGTCAAGGCTCGGAATTTGATAACTCAGTTGCATATTAGGACGACTGAGTTGAAGAACTCGTCCATGGTGCCGTGCAAGATTGTTCCGGTGCTCATGGATTCGAGCTCGTCATTGGAGATCAAAGAGAAGACCGTCACTACCATTGATAGAGTCTCAGTTGTGGATTCAAGCAAACACTTCTTGATTGATGGACTTTCTTTTCTAAATCATCTATTGTGGTGGTTTTCGGGTTGGCCATGGCTTTTTTTTTTTTTTTTTTTTTTGTTGGTTGTGATGGTGTCTAAATGCGGTGGTGGTTGTGGTTGCCTGGGTGTGTTGGTCGTGATGGTGGTTGAGAGAGGGGATTACAGAGAGAGATATGGAGTGGACTGAGGTGAGAGAGAGAGTATGTGGTTGAGTTACGTGTCCCCTATTCAAGGCTTGATGGTGAGGGGTATTTTTGTCAATTAACATGATTGATATTTTGTGAATTAACCAAATTAATTAATCAGGGGCAAATATGACATTTGAAATCTTAGGGAGTGTCAATGTAAAAAAAGTCGTTGACCGTCTGTTGAGTGGCGTTGACCAAAACCTTAGGGGTGTCAGTGCAATTTACCCTTTTTATTTTTTAAAGTTTCAGACATTTTTTGGTGATAAGATTATTATGTATGTGATTGGAAAATAATGATTTTTAGTTCAAACTTTGAACTAAATTTCCTCCAATTCCAAGGCGTCGATTTGGTGTTCCCAAACATAGCTTTTCTATAAATTTGGTTGGGATTGAGTTGGATTATGCTGTTTACATTAGTCATCACGATGACTCCAACCCATTCTGCTCAATTCATTGGAAATCAAAGTGCTGTGTTGATTCATCTACATACCTCTAAACGTGAAGTTAATGCATGCAATGTTGTAAAACCATTTTTATTTTTCTCATGTGAAATCTATCACCTCTTTTGATATTATCTGGTACTCTCTAACAGAAACAAATGGTAAAGGAGGGACAAGTGCTTTGCTACATCGAACAGCTTGGTGGCGAAATCCCAGTTGAGGTTTGGGCCTTGACTTTATGTGATTTGTTTGTGCGCGTGTTCTTGTGAATGCAGACATGTTGAATGAGAGTTGATGGATTTTTGGGTTCCGCTAATTCTCTTTTACGTAGCATTTTTTTTCCTAATTGTTTAGTAAGTAACGCTCTTCCCCAAATATATATGATAGTGAGTGCTGAATTTTTCAACCATCATTTTGCAGTCCGACATATCTGGAGAGGTTATCAAGATACTACGAGAAGATGGTGGTATGATTTTCCATCTTCCATGACTCTTCCAGTTCTGTGCAACTCCTTTATTTTTCATGTCCTCATTTGATCTATTTCATTCAACAGATCCTGTTGGATATGGTGATGCTCTTATTGCAATCCTTCCTTCATTTCCTGGGATAAAGAAGCTTCAGTAGATGGTTTTGTCTAATTTATGTTCTTTACAGCCTAAATTTTGTTCTCTTTGAGCAAATGTTCATATCAGACTCTGAATGAACTGGACAGCATTATGTATATTATGCATTCTACTTTCTGTTTTGAAGCTTGGGACCAAAATCTTTATTTTTTCAAGTATTTGCTCGAAGGGACAATACTTAGGTCTCAACAGTGATGATATATACTGACCGCACATGTGGACTAATATCAAATGGGCACGTCTCTTAGTCAATTCCATATTTCCATGACACAAGGGAATCATTTTTATTAGTTTTGTTAAAATGATTGATCTCATATTAATGTCAAATAGTAGGAGTAATGGTTCCCAAATCCGAATGCAATAAGTAGTTAATTGACTCAAATCTAATTTAAACTTGTCTTTGATCTTTATAGGCCATGGCATCTCATAATGCAAAAGATCAATCCTAATCCATCACCTAAATCACTTTTATTTGATGAGCAAATTTATACCAATCATTCATCTATGGACTTATGATGACGTGATGATGATAACATTGACGTTAACCAATTTGCTCCCTCATTATGTCTATTGACTTTAATTTCCTAACCAACTCAGAAAAAAAAACCCCAAAAATGAATGGATTTTATTGGTACTGGGTCCAATCTTCAATCCCGAAATTTCTACTCGTTGACTCCCCTTCAGTAAGAAATTATAGAGGTAGTTGCCATGTTTGAAAGATCATGCACCATTGTTCACATGCAATGGACCACCACCTATTTGAATAAATAATTGAATGATAATTTGGCTATATCCTGGTTAATTAAATGGAACTTGATTTTTACCCTTTATACAAAGTGATCATTTCTAAAATTCGAATTCAGTCTATTGAATTGAAATGAGTAATTACAAATTTAAAAGATATCGAATGGTAATATGTGAGTGAGGCATGGGCATCAATCTACATCCCATTTATACAATACTCAAGACTTGGAGGTTCAAAAGTATATTTTTTATTTATTTATATTTTTTATTTATTGAAATTGTAAAACTTGATTTTTAACTATAAACATGTTATAATATTGTATAACCTTGTGTTCTGTTCTAAGCAATGACCCCTTAATTAATCAATTCACATTATTGTTGCAAATAAATATTGTCACGGACTCACAGTTTGAACATAGCACCAAATGAAAGAATGTATGGCCTGTAGCCACCAACGAACCACTTGCTTTCAATAAATTATGCATCACTTACTTATTTATTCACTTGTAATCAACTAAAATGATATCCGATTACCAAAAAAAAAAAAAAAAACTAACATGATATGCTATATATATTGTAAAAATAATTAATCAGTTAAAGATGATATGCTCTCCTAATGAATTTTGAATTTTGAATTTTGATGCTGTAAACATAGCCAATCCATTCCTCTCAATTTCCTTGATTAACCAAATCTTCCTTCTTTGAGATGGTATTTGAAAAACTGCAATTTGATATAATTAGGATGCTAATATATTGGCGCTCTACAAACATCCAAAGAAAATCCTTAAGCCACACAATATTATTGTGATTCAGAACTTTTGTGTAATTTCACTTTATTAAAATAGAAGAACGGATCGCCTTACTATATATGTGAGCGCCACTATCAGTGTACATTTTATTTCATATATATATATATATATATATATATATATTCATCCTTAACTTTCAAAAATATATATATATATCAACACCCTATTATTATTATAATATATATATATATATATAAAAATTGATATGTTTTAAAGTCGGTTAGGACTTAGGAAATACTGTTAAGAGTTCAGTTTTAGCGCTAACAAAGCTAAACATGTGACTGAAGGCAAAGTAAAACCATCATTACAATTCTCAAATATTTTCTAAAGCTTGAGTTTTGACAACATGTGTTTCACAAAATAAAAAATATAAAAAAATTCAAATTATTTGCAAAATAAAGGGATTTTTTTTAATAGAACATAAATTTAATCCTTGGTCTCATCAAGTCTTACTTACATATCATGCAATTATTAATTAATAAACTATTCCGTACTTTTTTTTTTTTTCGTGACTGCACAGTAAAAACTTCATCAGTTTTATTTTAAATTTTCATCACTTTCGAGGTCGAAATTTAATCAATTTCTTCCATTCACCGAAAAATTTTTTTTTTGAATTTTTTTAATAGTGTAATGAAATTCACTATTTAAATCTTTAATTTTCAAAGACGTGAAGTGCATTTTTTTTAATGTTTGATTCTTGATAAGATAAAAGATTAACCCATTCTCCTTGATATCCTACGTTCTCTCTATCTTCAAACTTATGCCACAGCTTTCAAACAAACAAAAATAAAAATAAGGATAAATTACACTGGCATTCTTGAAGTTTTAGTCAACTATACTGAACAGTTAATGACTTTTTTTACATTGACACATCCTAAGATTTAAAAAATGTACACCCCTCTAAACATTTGAAACCATATAAAATTATCTTTTAATCCATTGACTTGTCAATAACTCTGTTCAACTCATAAAATTTCAAATTTAACCTCCTAACTAAATTTACTGGACCAAACTAACATCTTCTATACATATAATTATAGTTTTTATATCAAAATACTTATACCACCATAACTACCACCACAGCATAAAAATAAAAATTAATATTAATTTTATTTTTGAAAAAGTCAAATAACTGTACACTATCATTAACCATCATCACCACCACACCCAAACACCACAGTAGAAAAAAAAAAAATTAAAAACAACCATGGCCAACCCACACTTATAACATAGTAAGAAAAAAGGGAATGGGAGAGATCAAGAAGAGAGAGAGGGAGTGTTGGCAGCTAGGTATTAAAAAAAAAGTTAGAGATTCTAGTAGAGAAAAAGACTTAATGATGATGGTAGAGAAAACAGCTTAATAATGAAGATAGTTTCGTCAATTCATAGGGCTGATATTTTGTAAATTAATTGAATAAAATAATTAGGGGCAAATATGACATTTGAAACCGTAGGGAAGTGTTATTGTTAAAAAAATCATTAATCCGCATCTGAGTGAAATGACCGAAATTTTAGGGTGTCAATGCAATAAACCCCAAAAATAAATAGCCTTAAAATCTTTTTGGGAGTTTGATTTCATAAAAATAATACTTCGTATTAAATTATTTTGGAATATCTTCTCTCACTCACTCACTAATTAACACACACACACAAAAAAAAAAAAAAAAACATATTAATGATATATAAATAAAGAAAAATGATAGGTCTTCCGACGTTAATTATGGACTCTTTCTCCGAATACAATGTGATTGAATCTCATTGAAACTCTTAAAAAAATTCCCGTAAACTTCTCTTTCTCTTCGATTCATTTCCAACCACGTTATATTCGGAGGAGTAGTAAGCAATTAAAGTCGAAAAATCTATCACTTCTCATAAATAAATAATGATTTAAGAACAGAATTCGACAGTTACCGAATTCAATTTATATAATTCAATTTATGTAAGTGTAACGGTGTTGTTTTTGGGCTCACACGGTACTTTCCCTCATTCCTAAGCTCTCCATCAAACAGTCATGAGAATAAGAAAAATAAATAATAGTAATTCATCTGGCATTCCTTAAAAATTATCCCCTTATCCCATATTAGATGTCACACTTGGAAAGTGTAACTTTTTAATGGTACATGTAATTATTGCATTGTCTCATTTTTTATATAATAAGTTGGGAAAATTACATTGATCTCCCTTTAGGTTTCGTCAATATACACTGACCTCTCTTCTTGTTTGTTAAATTACACCAACTTCTCCAATTATAGTTGTCAAGTAGATGGTGTTAACTGTTAAAGTGAAATTACATATATGTCCTCATTATATTTATTGTATTTTATTTACAAAAGAATGCACATTAAAAAGACAAAATTATTCATATGTCAAAGAGAAACAATTTGGAAGGATATATATATATACACACACTTAAATATATTTGTTTGATGAGAAACAATTTGAGAGGAGAGAGAGAGGATATATTTGTTTAATTTGGTGACGACAAAGAGGGTTTAGGAAGGTAATCCAAATAGGGTAAGAAGGAGAGCAAATGGGTATGGTAGAAACCCAAATTTGGTGTTGAAACTCACACGCACCAAATAGTCAATTGGATTATTTATAATTGGAGGTTTAGTTGTAGTAGATCATCTCCACCTTCCATTTATAATTAATCCGATTGCATTTGGTTACAAACGAAGTCCAAAACTAAGACACCTAGAAAATTTATTTTTCCACAGCGTTGATATTGGATTATTCTTGTACTCCACTCTACATAATAAGGAATACATGAAGAATGAACTAACTCAATGGTGAGCCACTCTACATAATAAGGAATACATGAAGAATGAATTAACTCAATGGCGAGTTTAAAAGAGAGAAGGAAAAAAAAAAGGCAATTAGCAGGGAGAGGATTTTTTTTTTTTGTTGTTGTTGAAAGGTTAAGTGGAGAGAGCTTGAACTAGTAGCTCTAATGGATCAAGTAAAATTGTAGAGAGCCCAAAAAGCTTTAAAGAAGGCAATGTAATGGCAACCATGGAGGGTTTTAAAATAATTTTACTTTAGTAAGTAAGGTCAAATTTGTCTTCATAATAACTAAAAGAGTATTTTAGTAACTTTAAACTTACATCAATAATTACTAACATTGACCGGATATTGACCTTTAATGGCAGTTAATGGAGGGATACTCTTTATTATGAAGATTTAAACTTGAAGACAAATTAGTGTAATTTGTCAAACAAGAGGGGAGGTCAGTATAATTTGACTAAGGAAAGTCAGCTTAATTTGCTCTAATAAGTTTGAAATGTTTTTAAAGTTGTAAGAATATTTTATGAAAAGATATAAAATGTGATGTTTGAACGTTGAATTTAGGATGTGAACAATTAATTTGGGATAACCTAAAAAAAAAAAAAAAAAACTACAACCAAATTGAAGCAGATGCAATACATGAGGCCCATAAAGGATACTAAATTATACAAGGTTGGCATGAGTCAAAAATGAAAAACCAAACCAAGTCAGATACGTGAGATAAAGGTGCACCAAGTTTTCATGCTAACAAAAAATAATATTATTTATATATATATATATAGATATATATATATAGGAATAAAAATAAATAAATAAATAAAGAGATTGACTGAGTTGCCATCCAGAGTTATGAACTCTGTTAACCAATTCCTATCGTCCTATTCTCTCTCCGCGTATACATACACAATTACACATACACATATATAGATATATCAATATACATAAAGCCAGGGAAAAGTCTTTAACAACAATCAAGGGGGATTGACTTGATCACATACATACAGAGAGAGAGAGAGAGAGAGAATTGTAGAAAGAGAAAGAGAGAAGCTACCGGACGGACGGACGAACGATGGCTGGGTTACAGAGATCTGAAGTATCATTCAGGAGGCAAGGCTCATCAGGTCTCATATGGGATGACAAGTTTCTGAATGGTCTATTGAATCATCAAAGAGATCAATCAGAAGAAGACGACGACAACAACAACAACAACAATAACAACAACAACAACAACAACAACAACAACGATGAACAAGAAGATGAAGAACAGCTCAAAGAGGTCAATCCGAACACACTAGATCGGAGCAGATCCAACGGCGGAGGACGCGCGTCCCGCACCGGCAAGGTGTCGCCGGCGATAGAGCCGCCGTCTCCAAAGTTTTCTGCATGTGGGTTTTGCACTGCCTTCGGAAAACCAGACAAGTCTCGCCGTCCATCAAAGCCCCCCCGTAAGTTCAGAATATGAAATTTATTCTACTGTGTCAGTTTCAGTCGCCGGCGGAGGTAGTTACCGAAGCTGGAGGTGGAATATTCCGGTACTAAACGCATTTGGTCCCTTCATAGTTTTCATTGTATATGAATGAGCTTTGCTAGTAGATTACTATAATTTAGTTTTATCTCAATATATGGAATGAGGTCTTAGAATTTTGATTGTATATGGAATGCTCTGTTTTCATTATATTGGTCTTACCTTTAGAAATGTTTTTGTGGTTGGTTGTATTTTTATTTTTATGTGAATATTATTGTTTCATGAGGATGATTTTTAATGTACAAAAGAAAATCTGAATTGTGCATCTCTGCATATATATATATATATATATATATTGATTATGCAATTGAGCTTGTGAACAAAAAACTGATGTGGGAAGAATGATTCCTATGTGGAAAGCAAAATCTACTTCTTTCTTTTTCTTCTGGGATCCCAGAAAACAGTCTTTGGATCAAGATTAATTAATAATATGTGGCAACTAAGTTGTAATTTAAAATGTTGGTAGGTTATCAAACTTTCACCAAATCAGGATTGTTGGGATTTTTTGGACTAAAACAGGAGAATCAATATTTGATTAATTGGCAAAAACTAGCCTTTTTCAAGACATTTAATATGCCTACAAGTCCTAATTATAATAGTGTTCTTTAAGTGAGAGCTGTAATCAGCATAATTATATTCCCTTTTATCATATAAAGCATGTGAATCCAAGTCCTAATTATAATAATGTTCTTTAAGTGAGAGCTGTAATCAGCATAATTATAACATATAAAGCATGTGAATCCAATTGGAATTATTAGCTAATTGGCCTTTCACCTAACTGCCCAATCAGAATAATTCCGTTAAAGATCATTTCTGTTGAGAAATCAAACCAATTCCTATTTATTTGACTGAAATTCTTAAGCCAGAATTATTTTATTTTCTCACTCATAAGGCTGTAAATTTATTAAGCAAACAAGTCTAAGTTTGAATTAAAAAAAAAAAAAAATTAAGCTCATGATAAACATGTTCATAATAAAAATGAATAAAATATCACATACACTGAGCTCAAGGTTGAGATTCAATCAAATGAGCCGAGGTCCACAAGGAATGATCGAGCCAATCTTTAACAGCCAAAAACTCGGTTATCCCAATTTATTTGAAGTAAAAAAGTGTATACCATATACCACTTCGAAATATATATTTTTACTAAAATATAGTCTAATGGTTATTCCTCACCTTTTAAAAGAGAAGGTTGATGGTTCAAATTCCCGTAAGGTATTATGAATGTGTTTCTTGCTAATGAATAAAAAAGGAGTGTATATTTTTTTGCCTGATGAGCTCTCTTTCTTATTTGCGAGAGTTACAACGGAACACAGATATTTCATTTATCAGTTATCACTACCCATCTAAACATGTTTTGATTCAAGTCGTTTTCAACACAATTTGAAGTTTAAATCCTTTCAGAACTGATTATACGCCCTTCTCAAATTCCGATCAGCAAGTGTCATGTTGCTAAAGTGGTAGGGTTGCTCCCCGTGTCTAGAAGCCCGTGTTCTAGCCTTGCACCATCTCCTTACCCTCCAACCACAAACCACTGAACCCTAACATTTTTGCCCTTGAAAAAAAAAAAAAAAAAGAAGTTTTCATTACAAAGAGAACCTGTTCATAATATCCTTCTCATCCATGACCTACATTCCATTTGCAAGTAAAAGTTTCATTCAAGAATAAAACCAACAAAGGAAATGGTTAAAAGTGTTCAATGACAAAAACAATTCCAGTGAAGTATATGAATTTAAAAGTGATATTTGCATTCCTCAAAATTACTCTCATTGGTTCTGTAAATCAAACCATGTAATGATGCCCTGTATTCTAATTAATAGATATATATATTTTTTTTAAATGTGAGATCCACTATTCACTCCCAGCAAAATGAAAGGGAAAACAAACAAACAAACAAACGCATTCACCCCAAGAACAAAGAAAACAAAAAAGTTTCCATCCACAATTAAAATTAATTTATTAAAAATACAAAAAAAACAAAAAAGTGTTCCATTCACAATTAATATCAATTTGTTATCTGTGTCATCATAACTCAATTTTCCCAGTCCTACATGGTTTAAGCTACAAAGAAGTTTTATGAACCCAAATGCAGAACACTGCTCTTATTTTCCATTTAGATTCTCAACCAGTAGGGCATCCGGTTCAACCTTTTTTCTTTTTTTTTAGTTAAAAGGTAAGCTTCATCCGGTTCAACTTATAGATTAGTCAACTGCAAATCACTCTAAACATATAAATAAACTGTCAAATATTAATATGCATGTATACAACTTAATGAAAACAATGAAAATTAAATGTCTGGCAAATTATTAACATTGCAGATACCAGCAAAGCCTTCGAAGGTGTATTCCTTTATTAAATAAAACTGAACACCACATTAGAAAAGTTAAGAGAATTCAACAGGGGACAACAGTGAAAGATCAAGTGGAAAGGGTATTGAATTGAGAATTTGGAGAATGGTGAACCTGTCCCACCATAGCACGTTAGCACCTCACTCTACCAAGCTCTTGGCCTAGCAGATGAGAAATGGTCTTACAGATACTTTCTTGCAAGGGCTCGAACTTTTGTATCAAAATGCGATGAAGTAATGCGGGAACCAGGTAAGTATAGAGGATTCAGAAGAATCTGCCAATTTATCAACAGTTTGATCAGTGAATATATCAGTATATAAACCATCTCAAACAAAAGGAACACTCATGCAGCACGCGCATGCACACAGGAGCTGACTAAATGGTAGAAACAAAAAATTACCTTTATATATAGCTCGTGGACCTCTTGAAAGAAACTTTTAATTCCATCGTCATTACGAGTGTCATGAAGTAGCATCAACCGCGTATGTACGAAGTTATTGATTAAGGAAGATAAAGTAATAAATCTCGTGAACAAATTTAAGATTAGATGTGATAATTAATCTAGCACTCAATAAAATAAAATAAATCATTGAAAAATAAAATAAAATAATTAATCCTAATTAATAAATCTTTTAAAATTATCGGGGTATTACAGTTTATATGAAATTAATTAAGCAGAATCACAGTACTATATTGAATGCAATTAACGCTGAAACTTTTGAGTGATATTATCCATAATAAAATAAAAATCATCTTAAGGTTTGGCGTCCACCTATCAAACTTGAACCAGTACTAAATTCCACAATTTTTTAACTTCTTTGGTAGATTCAAGAAATTACACCAGACATCTCGAAATAACTAATAGAAAACAAGTCCACTTATAAGTATATAATCATTGATCACCAATTTAATCAGCACCTAAGTATATAGTTATTAGTATATAATCATTGATCACCAATTTAATCAGCACCTTGAGAGTGAAACAAGTAACAAGTTTACCCAGAATATTAATAAGAAAGGAAATTGAAAACAACTTTTTTGGTTATTCCTTGTGGCCATGAAATCGCAGCAAGAGAGGAAGCAAGTTCAGGTATAGGAGCATAACATTTTTTTTGGTTATTCCTTGAGGGTGAGAGGGAAGTTGTTGAACACACAGAATTGTAGGAATATAGCAGCAGGTCACTATGTGGCAAACCTCATACCAAAAGACATTCTAAAACTCTGCAATGTATTTTTTTAAAAAAAAAACATTATCACAACAAGAGCTATGGAAGAAAATTGGGATTTACACTGATTTAAAAGATGAATTTGGTAAGACAAAAGATATAGAAGGAAAAGTTAAGGTATAATATATTGTTCTCGCAAATAAGTAGATAATTTTAAGCATATAAAAACATAATGCTAGTCTCAAAAATTTCAGATTAAAATGCACTATTCTAGTTAAAATGATTATACTTGGCTTTCCACACGATATAAAATTATGATTGTTTCAACAATTTACAATTATACAGAGTCTTGTTCCCTTTAGATCTGAGTAATCTCAGTTCTCTAATATATCCAAGAGAAATATCTCTAGAAGGTGCCAAAAGGAAGTCTAATCATTGCACAGTAACAACTTTGATTGATATTTCCTTTTAATGTAAGAAAAATACGATGAAGTTTTGTGTGTACAAGTAATCAACTCTTAGTGCAAATATGTATGGCTGATCTGCGTATATGTGTGTGTGCGTGTGTGTGGGTATATGTGTCTAATATATATTTATCCATGTATATCTGATGAATCTAAAGATCAACTCTCATGTTGCATTCTCTTATATGAGCTCTCACCTAATCACCAACACAACCTCGTTCTTAAGCTCATGCGCACTCATGTTCCAAAATCAATTAAATCTCAAACAAACAACCCAAAACAAGTGAAAATTGGTTTGGATGGGATGGACCTCGGTTTACAGAAGAAGCAGTTGCAACTCTAAGCAGAACGATAAAGAGAAAAAATAATCAAATCAAACTCAATCAAAACATACCTCTGCTCTAAAACTACAAATTTACTAATATATGGCAACATAAAACTTCACTTGCATGATTCGCTCCAGTCATGAAATATCTATGACTTGTTAATTATAGATTAATTATAATATATGTATTATGTAGGATATGACCTGCAGTAACATAAACCGATACTGCCAAATCATTGAATCTGTCAATTGCTTTCAAGAACCTGGATAACGATTGGGAAAATTAATGTGTATGACAAAGAAGGCAAAAATGATGACAGAAGAATTCATTACAGCAGAAAATCTATTTGACAATGATGGCTTGCTAATTCATTTATATTTGGGGGGGAGAGAGAGAGAGAGAGAGTCCGCTTATGGAATCTCACATAGCACTTGTTGTCCATGCGAGGTCCTGGACAATATCCAACGCTGCATGTAATACGAATTGGTGTTGATGTGCAGCATCTTCTTTCTGCCATTAACACAAGGTAAGGTGTTACAAACTTCAAATTGTAAAAAAGATTTATAAAAATTTATAAGATGTTTTTTGGTAAGTAGTGAGGCAAGCTCAAATTGTGTTTGGCAAAACAAGGCTGAACAAAGAACTGTGGTTCAATGTACAGTTTGTCAATGTTTGTGCCATAAAAAAAGAAGTTAATTTAGCACCCAAAGTAAACTTTTCTCAAAATTTCCTTGCAATTGAACTTGAAGAAGCAAGGGGCTATCTAGTGCTCCACTTATAAGATGTTGCTAGTATTCTATGATAGATTAGTAAACACTGACCATGAAATAAAAAATGCATGACTATTGGCGTAACTTACAAAAACATTCTAGCGTGTATATGGAAATACCCAATCCCTATAGGATTTCAGTAGGCTTTGAAAATAATGGTATAGCATATTCACCTTCTAGGATTTCCGTAGGCTTGGAAAATAATGTTATAGCATATTCACCCTTCTATGCACTCAGATAGATGAATGCAAATATGACGCTGACTTTTGAATATATATTTGAGAGGAATCTGGAATGTTGATTACCCATGTTCATTGGATGACAAAAATGTAAAAACAAATTAAAGGTTCCATTTCCATGACAGTAAGTCTGCATCGTCGTCGTCATCATCCTTGCCTTGATCTAAAACAAATGTGACTGGCAACATGAATTTTCATCTTTCACTCTTGTATTACAAGCTATACCACCTATTATTTCTAATTTCTTAAGGTTTTGTCTTAATTACTTCATCCCATATCAGTTTGGCCTACATTTGTGTCTCAGAAAAGCCTTTCCAATAAGAAATGCAAGTTAGATAAAAATGAATAAGAAAATAGCTTTTGGTATAAGGGATGTCAATTCGCACATGAAAACCCAATAACTCTGGTCAGCAAGTCAGTCCAAAGCATTTGTTTCCTCACACGTAAATGATCATCTTCTTCCCAATGTTGCCTTAGCAATCCAATGGAACATTAAAGGTTTTATATTAAATTCTGATTTCTGAATCTTTTGAACAGCGTGATTCAGCGGATCAAGTTGAAAACTAGTAAGGCAATACAAGCTTAAGGAAATCTAAAACAAGGTTGCCATATTGATAGGTAAAGCATGCACTTCACTAAAGTAATAATTTTGAATATAATTAGTAGGTTAATTTCAAAATAGAAACAGACTACCGGGAAACACGATCTGGATTATAAGTTAAACAAGTGAAACCCCCGAATCTTAAACACATTTTGCATTTCCAAACAAAAGAATAAAGACAAATTTACATTCACAAGCATAATCAGTGATGAAGAAATCATACTTTAGGCGCAGCACCGACTTCAGCTTCATATATAGGAATGTCATTCCTACTAACAATCATAAAACATGCTGTTCCGGCCATACAAAATACTTGAGACAACAATATTCAAAGAGATATCTGCAACAAAAGATGGGAAAATATTAAAGAATATGAAATCCATAAACTGAATCATATGGAAAATGGAAATCAACCAAGGACAAATCAGTAACAAGAATCAATTGAATTAATAGAACAACCAATAAAATGCAAGAAAAATACATATCTATATCTAATCTAACTTTTCCAAATTCAGATAATCTATTCATCAATGGTAAGTCGCTTTTTGATGCAGCAGACAGGATCGATACATATTCTTTGCAAATCCATAAAATAAAAATAAATAAATACGGTCAAAGTAACAACAACAATATATATATATATATATACATCATGACCGGAAGAAAACTCACCCAATTGTCGAATCAACGCTGAGAGGAGGAGAGAGAGAGCGGGGAGGGGGGAGGGGGAGCTCTTTACTTGGCAGAAGGGGGACAGGAAAAAAGTATTGGGTTGTGTTGAAAAAAGACCCATTATGGCATGGACTTCTAGAGAGAAAGGTTCACTTGACACGAAAGAGGGACACGTAAAAAACGAAGAATTGGGTTTATTAGAAAACAGCCCAATGGACTTGTCTCTTTATTTGTTTGGACCTCGGCCTTTGTGCCTATGTAGGGCATGATTACGCATAGCCCGCATTAGGGCTCCTATGACCTAAGTCACATTGTAAAATTTAAAAGTTGGATCGAGCGGGTTGTATTTTAAAAAATAAATTACAACGACAATATTTAATTAATTTTAATTATAAAATATCAAAATTTTCAAGGGTCATTTTCTCCCTTCGACACATTCTCTCTATCCTCTTTATCTCTCTTTAAACGCTCAAACGAACGGCCTGAGATCGGGGGTTAGGTGAGCTGTGGCATATCGTCAGGTCCGGCTCACCGTTGATGGCGCACAGCTCGAACAAATTCGAAGCTCGGAGTGTGTAGTCCAACGCCTTGCTCGGGCCATCACCGGCGGTGGTTGTATCACGCGCGAGTTTCAGAAGGAACGGGCTGTGATCGGGGTCGAGAGAGGATAACTGTCTTCTTTGGCGACTTCTTCTTGACGAAGCTCCGATCCAGCGATGGTTTGGCCTGTGAAGTCGGTAGCGAAGGCGAGGGAGGTCGCCTTGGGACCGGCGGTGCTATCCAGAGGGAACGGATCTTGTCAGCGCTAGCGGGCTGAGTGGCGGCTGAGTATTGCGGTTATGGTTGCTGGAGCTTCTGCGGTGGCGCGGTCGCCTGAGGCGGTGGTTGTTGGTGGTAATACATAGGCTGTTGGGGTGGTTGTTGTGGGGGTGGGGCTGATTCTGATTCATCATCATCCATTGCGGGTACTGTTGGTATTGATGGTGATTTTGTTGAGGATCCATGGTCGATTGAGCTATTGGAGAGGGATCACGCTTGTTGCGGGATGCATCAGGTGAAATTGGGTTGGATGTGTTGTATACATACACCAACCAAGTTCAGCCGGCTGCGACGATTTGGGGTAGGAGGGAAAAATAGTGTCTTAACAGTTTTGGGGTCTCCATTCAACGTGACTTAAGCGGTTGCAAAAGGAGCACCTAATAGAAAGGAGCTAATAAAAAGGGCTCAATTTTTTTTTTTTTTTTTTCATATTATATCTTTTCTAAAAATTTTATTTCCATCATATTAGCCCATATAAAAGTCCTAAAATTTATATTTCTTTATATTATAACTTTCAAAAATTTTTATTATTAAACTCTGCCAAATAGAAAGACAAAGGCCGTATTTTTTTTTTATTTCCTTATAGTATAATCTTTTTAAAATTTTTATTTGTATCGATTATTAGACTCTAATCAATAGAGATTTAATTGAGGTCAAAAGATTTTAATCTTTATCTTTTCTCTTTTTTCTCTCTCTCAATTCCTCATTCACATTTCTTTTTTTTCCAAAATTTGTAAAACTTTTCATATTTTTATTTTAACTATTATCTTCTTTATTTTTTTTTTTTCTTTCTTATTTGTGACATGTTTTTTTTGTATAACTTTAAAATTAATTATGTGACAAGAAAGATTAATTGAATTGACTATATATATATATATTAGATATTAAAAGATTACTTTTATATTTTTCGCTTAAGATTTCAAATTATATTCCTTGTCTCCATTGAATCTGGTTTGGATTGAGAATTTTTTGTGATTAGTTTGAGAAATTTTTTGTGGTGGTGGTGGTGGTGGTGCTTTGCAGATAGGTGCTTGAGATGAAGGGTTATTTTAGACATTTTAGATTGGATATATTGGTAATTTTATTATTTAAAAGTGCCACTTCACATTTAGGCCATTTTAGCACATGAGTGTCTTTGTCAAAGGGAGCAAATATGAAGGGCTGTCATTGTTAAAAAATATGAAGGGCTGCCATTGCAAATAGGTGCTTGAGATGAAAGGTTATTTTAGGCCATTTTAGATTGGATATATTGGTAATTTTATTATTTAAAAGTGCCACTTCACATTTAGGCCATTTTAGCACATGAGTGTCTTCGTCAAAGGGAGCAAATATGAAGGGCTGTCATTGTTAAAAAATAAGTCAACTTATATATAGTTGTCAATATGACAAATTTCAAGTGCTGTTATTATAATTTATCATATTTTTAAAGAGAATAAGAGATATTATTTAAATTTTCGTAGAAGAAATAATTATTTTAAAAAATTATAAAACAATACACTATTAGGTGCATTTTGATACTTCATCAATAATTCGATAATTGTCAAATTGAATTTGTGGATTGAAAAAAGTAAATTTGTAAATTATGAAAGAATTTGTTCTCGAAGTTTCAATTTTACACGCAAAATGTGAAATTAAAATTTAATTTTTAATTGACAATAATGCTAAAACAATGATAAAATTTAAAAGTAAAGATAATGAATAAAAAAAAAGATAATTTAACTTTTTAAGTTGTAATATTAAAATTATGAAATCAAATATTAAAGTATATCTCTATCCCTTTATTTGTTTTTCTGTCCACTAATCTCTTTGAACATAAATCTAACATTGAAATTAAATCTAACCGCAGAAATTTCTTTTTTTCCCTTGTTAGAAAACATATTATCATTTTTGGAAAAGATGATTACTCGATGGCCGGCCAAATAGGAGATATTGAGGTAGTTTTCTCGATCTATCCCATCCTTACCTTTACAAATGAGAACTCGGCTATTTATAGATATTCTAATTACTCTCTCTAAGACTGCAACATTTTTGAGTGATTTATTGGAAATTTCTCACCTTGTAGATTGGTTGACAAATCACCTATTTATAGGTATTTTTATTTACTATCTATAAGAGTACACTCTACATATTTTATTTTAGAGGTACAATACTCTTCACTATTCTAAAATTTTTTAGATTACATCTATCTACAAATTTTTCAATATTCTAAAATCTTTCAATCCTCCCCGATACTCTACAACCTCCACACAAATATGAAACACTCTGGAAAGCATTCTACTTATGACATGCAACATGTAAACGGCATGATTCGTGAAAATTCTTTCTAAACTCTTATGTGTTGCTTGTGTTTTCATAGTAATATTTGTAGGTGGATGACTATTTACCTAACAAAAATTGAAATGAAAAAGAAAAGAAAAAAAAAAAAACAAAAGTTAATGTAGATGAAAAGAAAAGAAAAAAAAAAAAAAAAATTAATGTGAGACTCCCTTCAGAAACTCGGATGTCATTCTTTGATAGTTAGAAAATTTCCCTCTTACCCATTTTATTACACATGCATGTCTATTGCAAATAAATGTTAACTTGATTAATATGTAGCAACGCCATTAAAAAAAAAAAAAAAAAAAAAAAAAATCGAAAGTGTTTTTTTTTTTTTACTAGCACATTTTTACATTTCAAAACATAAAACTTGAGTAATGAGATATATCTATAAATGGAAACTTGTTTAGAGATTAGAAATTGCATGCTTGATTTATTATTATTATTATTATTTTTAACACCAACAAGCATAACAATCAAGAATAAAGAGAAATACAGTCAAGGAGAAGAGCATCTAACAATCGCTGGGGCCATATGCTCCACTCGACGTCATTATATTTGGCTTCCAGAGCTTTCTTGCTCAACTGGGCCACAAAGCTTTCCTTTCTTGGGTTTGCCATATGCTCCACTCGTCACTAAATTCGGCTTCAAGAGCCTTCTTGCTCAACAGATGAGACACAAAGTTTTCCTTTTTTGGGTTCACCATATGCACTACTCGATGTCCCTAAATTCATCTTTAAGAGCCTTCTTGCTCAATAGATGAGCCACAAAGTTTTCCTTTCAAGGAACCCAAGAAAGGAAAGAACCTAGGCAGACATTAAGGAGAGATAAAACATCATTGAAGATAATCATTAAACCTTCTACAGAAGTCTTCAAGTTCATAACCGATTGATAGTCTCCTTCCACTATCACATTGTTGTACCCCCAATTTTTAAGAAGAAGCAGTGATTCCCAAAACATAAGGCCTTCAGCCATAGTAGGACAACTGACATTCTCAAGAAAAATTGAGAAATCTTGATGGGGTGGCCAAGGTGGTTTATTGCATGCTTGATTGAGTCAATAAAAATTTGATGTTAAATATACAACATGAAATTTCATAATTTAATAACTATGGGTCTTAACACACACACACACAAATAGTTGAGTGAACTAACATGCACCGGGCATATCATGAGGAGCCTGGGCAGTGAGTGCGGGTAACTGGGTATTCACTGTTCATGAATTTTAGTACAAAAGGATGAGATTGTGCTAAATGGTGACACCATTTAATTTAATTTAATTTAAATTATTGGAAATTTGCTGTGCTTATCCGTATCTTATCAGGGCATCTCCAATGGACTCTTCGAATTCAGATTCTCCGAATTTGCCATGTCAGCATTTTCCCATAGTCACGTCAGCATTTCCCATAGCCACATCAGCGTTTTAGAATGAATCTCCAAATTTTAGTTATCGGATATACTTCAATGGTACATTTTCGCTCTCCAAAAATATTAATATTTTAATATTTTTAATAAATTTTATTTTTTAACTTTTTCCTAATGGCTAAATTTTTAAAACACTTATATCATAAAAAAAAAAATTAAACAATAAAATATTTATTATTAAAAACAATACGATACGACATAAATTTAAACAATACAATCAAAAAAAGAATTAAAAAGAATAGGTTTTTGTGCCAATATAGCTGTTAAGGCACTGTTTGGGTCAACCAAACAGTGCCTAAAACAGCTATACGTCAGTAGGAATATTTTAAAAAGTAAAATTTTTTATAAAAAACACTTTTATCTATTTTTTTAAAACTTTTTTTTGGCCCAAAAAAGCCTGTAAAGCACTGTTTGTGTCAGCCAAATAGTGCCTTAATGGCTCTTTGGTTCAATTATTTTGAAGAAAAAAAAAAAAAAAAAAAAAAGACCAAAATCAGCCAAAAAAACTAATTTTTCCTTTTTTTTCCAGCCAAACAGGCCTTATCAAACAGTGTTTTGGGCTAAAACACTATTTGGACCAGAATCTCCAAACCAATCTTGGTTTTTGGAGGCTTGGATCAAGATTGTCTTAATGGGGCTCACTTTTTAAAAGCCCATTAGAACAGTTCAGTCTTCAAATACAGCCCAAAATAGCCCGAAGTATCACCATTGGACTAACCCCTACCCCCGGGGGGTTTTTATAATTGGACTTACCCCTACCCCCTCCCCCGGGGTTTTTATAATTGTATACGTAAGGAACACAAGTAGGGTCCTCTTTGCTCCACCCACGTGCAATAACGCTCCTTTTGTTCTCATTAACGCTCCTTTCCTAACCGTATCCTACCTAAGAACCTTTTCCAATCCAAAACCAAAATTAATATGGTTGTATGTCTCTTTGTTAATTTCTGCGTGCTATGCTATATGCAAGCTAAAAATACATACATATATATATATATATATATATATATATATATTTATGGTATATATATACAGAGATATGTATACACTATTCATTACTAATAGGATAAAAAAGGTGTCCATTCATTTTTATTATCCACAAAACAGTTGAGAGAAAAAATGATATTCCCTCCAATCTAAAATTTTTGTCCAAAATTTTCAAATTATCCTTTTTGACTAAACAAGTGTACTAATTCCGAATTACTATTTGTCTTTGAATAAATTTGTAAGTATATGCTTATCAATACAATAAAATGATTATTAAAATTTGAAGACAGAGATAGTACATTTTATATACTTCTTACAAAAAGTCCTCTTATTAAATCATAACTCTTGGAGCCCAAATATATATATATATATATATATGGACATTGTAGCATTAAAGCTTCGTAACTGCACATAATTGGCATAAGAAAACACAATTTTAAGTAGCACAGTGCTTAACTACCCACTGGTGAATAGCCACACCCTACCCACCCCTTAATGTTTCAATAAAAAAATAGCACATCAACTTTAATAACAAAATTAGCAAAATACTGAAAACCAGATAAGAACCTGTTTTAATTGGATAATCACCCTTTCTCTTTTTTCTCGAGTCAACATTTTTGGTGATTTTATACCGTCTACAAACAATTATTTAAAAATAAATAAATAAAATATATTTCTATCAAATACATAATCAAGTTACCTTTGTTCTATATCTATGCTAGAGAGACGAAAAATATGGTACAAACATTTGTCCTCCCTCTAAACTGAGCAAAGACAGCTAGATCTCATCATTCTTAATTACTTGATCCACGCAGAGAGAAAAACGCCTGATGGCTTTGCAAAGGAAGCATCTGCATATGGTGTTGTTATGGTGGTTAGCAGCGGCAGCACTAGCAACGGAAGTATCTCAAACAATTTGATCCGATTGTGAAGAATATTGTGGGAAAGTAAGCATTTTGGAGAAAGGAGGGTGTGGGTTTGGGAATTTATGAAAGAGATAGATAAGAGAGAAAGGGTGATTATCGACGGGTCGATCGGACTTTCTTCTTCTTCTTTTTTTAGTATTTTACTGATTTTGTTATTAAAATTGATGTGTTATTTTTTTATTGGAACACATAAGGGATTAGTAGGGTGTGATTACTCACCGATGAGTAATTAAGTATTGTTCTTTTAATTAATTAAACAACTTAATTTATAAATTAACTTTTCAAATAGACTAGATAGGTTTAAAAAACACGCTAATATCATGTTTCTCTTCAATTTTGTTTTTATCGGAAAAAGTGGTGGTGCTGCTTCCAAGGTGATGGCATGAATTTGAAGGTACTTATAGGAGAGGGGAATCAAAATAAAATAGAAGACAAGTATTTGCGTGAGAGAGATAGTTAACATGCCTTTCAAAACTTTTCACTAATCATTATTAGTGTCCTCTAAGTACTTGCATTAAACAACAACATAAATGCCAACATGAGATCATGATCAATGGAAGTCACCAAGAAACATTAAGAGAGAGAGAGAGAGAGAGGGACACATAGCCTCCATGTGAATTAATTGGGGACAAAGCAAATAGAGGTGGGGGCTTACAAACAAATCACATGGGGGGAGGAGGACATGATTCTAACACGATACCTTTCTTTCACAGCTCATCCTCCCTAAATCCTACATATTCCCCCCACCATCCCCACTATCCCCCTTTTTATATTTATATCCCCACCCCTCAAAGCTAGGTTCCTCTACCATGCTCACTATACTGCACCAAAACATCTATATATGTGTGTGTGTGTTATACACACACTAAAGGCTTATCAGATCCTCTTCATTCTACCATGATCATCCATGAAAATGATCATCACTACCAACTTTGATTTCTCATTAACTAGCTAGATACAAATCTTTGATTTAATTATTCATAAAAAAAATGAAACAAATAACATCCTTTTATTAATCTCATTAGATGATTATGATGGGTGTCTGAAATATTTTTTATAAAAAAAATAATGTATTTAAATCATGTTTCAATAGATGTATTTATACTAAATATATTGAAATCTAATTTCAAAATTATTATTTCTAATTTAAAAATAGATCATGTTTCAACACATAAAATTAATATTTAAAAACACGATTTAATTGCGTTAAAATCTCCACGACACAGCATTGCTATGGCAAGGTCCGCTACCACAGAGGATCGGAACTTGATCAATGGGATATGCTCATCAAAGGATCTACTGTAGTATAGCACAGATGATCCTACCTCTTTGGTGATTAGATTAGATTTATAATAAAGTGAGGCCAAAATGGGAGGGTCACATCGGCACGTGGTGGCTGATTCCTCCAGTTAATAAACTAGTGCAATTTTCCGGTGAATCCGTTGAGACCACCCCCTCCCACAGCTGTAGCTAGCTGTCCTGATCCCCCATGTGAGCACCCAAAACCTCTGGGCCTTCAAAATTTTAGACCCACAACATTACTTTCAAAGAGAAGATGGGAGAGAGAGGGCAAAAAAGAGGAGAGAGAAAGAGAGAGGCCTATCATTACAATTATAGAGTGCTCAGTTAACTCCTGCAATACAGTTTAGTTAGTTTTTTGGTTACATTTCTCTACCCTCTAAATTGTGTGTCATTTGGAACATAAGTGCATTGTATGGCACATTTGCCACCCAAAGTCCCCATCATGACACAAAATTGTCCTTCATTCACTTACCCAATGATGCCGATGACATCCTTCGGTAGTGGCCTAATTCCCACCACCACCACTACTGCCGCCGCCGCCACTGCCAGCACCACCCTACAACCTTCATGGGTAGATGAATTCCTCGACTTCGCGTCGGTGAGGAGGAACGTGCACCGGAGGTCGGCCAGTGACTCTATTGCCTTCATTCCATTGGTTGAAGAATGTCAAAATTCTCATTGTCCCAACGCCGGAAACACTAACTTTGATCGGTTGGATGACGAGCAGCTCATGAATATGTTTCCCGACGACATGCCAATGGTGGCGCCGCCCATTATATCATCTTCCAACCCATCAAATGACCCGTCCTCGCCATCGGAGCAAAATAGTAACGAAGGTGAGAAGCCAACACCACCAGATCACAACCAGCGGCAGCCAAAAACTGAGGCAGGAGAGGTGGACAGCACATGCAACCCTGATCCACAAAAACCAACGCCGCCTTCTGCCGCCACTTCCGGTGATACCATAGTTGATCCCAAGAGGGTTAAGAGGTAAGAACATTAGTAACCCACATCACAAAAACCCTAAATTTGTATCGATTTTCATTCATACTATATAATACATAAGATCTGCATGACTAAGAGCCAAGGCTAATACCATTAAAAAAAAACAAAGAAAAAAAGAGAGCCAAGGCTAATCCATGTTAGTTATACAAGGTACAATATAGAACACCTTTTTTTTTTTTTCTAATATCAATTGTAACATTATTTATATATATATTATCCTAAAGTTCATTAACTATTTAATTGAACTTGGGCAATAATTTTAGATCTGAGCTATATACTTAATTAATTAGGATATATAATAATATAGTTATTTTTTAAATAACGTACTATTTTTGGGAATTTAATTACCAGAATTTTAGCAAACCGGCAATCAGCTCAGAGGTCGAGAGTGAGAAAGCTACAATACATCTCGGACCTAGAACGGAGCATCACAACATTACAGGTATATATGAAATTTAACTTATTCATATATTGTATTAATGGTATCATATGCTTAATGTATTGTTAATTAATATAATTTTCATATTTGTAATGCAAAATGAAGACCGAAGTATCGACATTGTCACCAAGGGTCGCATTTTTGGACCATCAACGGTTGATTCTTAACGTCGACAATAGTGCTCTCAAACAGAGGATTGCAGCTTTGGCTCAAGATAAAATTTTCAAAGATGGTAAGAGCTTTTATATATATATATATATATTCATGAATTTGAAGTAATAATTTCATATGCAAATTAGTTGCATTATTAATAAATGTTAGAGATATGTAAAAGAGTTACTCTATTTCTTTTTCACCCTTTGCCTAATTTTAAAGTAGCAGAATCCACCTACCCAAAAATAAATAAAAATAATTAAAGGGTTTAGTCTACTGATATTTCTTTTATCTCCTAAAAAGATATGATGATGTTTTGAATTTCAAGACAAATGAGTGTCTAACTTCTTTTGTCCATAAAATAAATAAATAAAAATAAATGTTTTATCCTCAATGCATTAACCGATGAAAAATTAATTGATTAGACCTCGTAAACCAAATATTTTCTTTAGTCATAGGAATCCCATAAAAAGGCACATTACTGATAGTGATATTGATATTATTGTTTGTTCCATATATAGCTGTCAGCTTACTTAAATTAAAAAGGCATTGTTTGTATCTCAAACAACGTATTTAAATTCAACTGATAGCTTTTTCAATTAGCTTACAATAGAGTTCACATTAGATTAAGAGATTAATTATTTTTAACTTAAATCTATACAACTTTTTGGTGTGAATTGAAATGCATTTCAGCTCATCAAGAAGCATTAAAGAAGGAAATTGAGAGATTAAGACAAGTATATCATCAACAAAGCCTGAAGAAGAAGATGGGCCACGCCGCCGCCGCCACCGCCGCACCAACTTCACCACCACCTCCGTCCACCTCTGACAACACTGGTTGTACTGACAAGGACCAACTTCTGAATTGAAAAAAAGGAAAAGACACTTCTAATTAACCTGCATGCGGATCCACGTGATGTGTTCCCTTTCTAGTGCGGCTCACCACAAGTTGCAAGATGAAGTGGTGTGAGATAGACACGTGGAGGGGTTAATTATCATAGCAATTGTTTATTGTGATTATAATTCTTATTTATTTATTTCTCTCTATCTCTTTGTCCATATTTTGAATTAGACTCCCAATATGGGTTGGTTTGTATATAGGAGGAGTGGGGCTTTAATTGAATCGGGATGCATGAAAGGGCGGGTTGTCAGGGTTGTGGGCTTGGCATTGTTTTAGTGTCTGCTTGTTTATTTATTTATTTATTTATTTTCTTGTCTTGATTTGGGCGTAACAATGTTTTATGAATTATGTCTTTTTATTTATTTCCTAATAACCATGGAAAATTCAAAAAATAAAAAGAAAAATACCTTCGTCTACCTACTCAGTCATTTTATTATCAATTATATGGCCGGCCTTGGGCTAATTCGAGAGTGGTTTGATGGTGGATTGGGCCCGTGACCATGCAGGCCTAGCTAGCTGCTGCCCGAATTCACTAAGGACTAAACATAGTTCAGGCCCAAATTCAACACGTCAACAAATTCGGCGTAGTTGATGGTGGTCTTTGGGAGAGCTTCCTGGAAGCTTGAAACAGGCTACTAAGCTTAAGAGGCCCTTCCCAAAAAAATGCAAGCGTTTGGCGAAACACAAAAAAAAGACTTATAAGAGCATCTCCAATGCTCTTTCATTTTGAGCTCTCAAACTCATAATTTGAGAGGTGGGTAAAAAAAGCCCTCTCAAAATTTCTCTCAAATAAAAGAGTTGCCAAATTTTTTTGACAACCCCCACCCCCACATATATAATTTCAACCCTACACACACACACACATATATATAATTTTAACCCAAATTCGTCTATATATATATATATATATATAAAAGATCATAAAAATTTCACCAAATATGATTTAGTTTGCAAAACAAGAATTACAGACCTTGATTAGTTGATTTAGAAAAAAAATTAAAACAAAACCCATACATACAATTTAGAAGTTGCAAAGAGAGAGAGGGGCCAAGCTTGAGAGTTGAGAGAGCGGCTGAAGCTTGCGAACGGCGAGCCCGAACTGGAACAGTAGGTAATGTAAACTAAAAGATATAGGTTTTTGAATAATCTGAAATGATATGCCTGTTGGGAAACGTGCAAATTTTTAAAACTTTTTGAGGGATTTGCAATCACGGATCTTGATTCATCACACAGAGACAAGTTTTATGCAAAGATAAATAAAAGATGATGCATAATTCAATAAACAGATTGAATACTTACATCAAAGGTCTGAGTAAACCTTTTGAACTTTCCTCTAAAGTGAATGTTCTCACTTATTGTAGATCCCTTTAGCAAGATCCTTTCTTCTTCCGTTCGATTATTATCTTCCCTTTAGGAATCACCAATATGCCTTGATGAATGACCTTGGAATCTAGGTTGGTGGTGGCCTCCTTTAGAAGAGAAAACAAAACCCTAAAATCTAGAGAGAGAAAGTGTATTCCTTTTTCTTATTCTCCAAGTCACACCTAAAATATACATGAACTCATGTATATATAGGCAAAATAAAAATAAGAATAAGGAAACAATAAATCATTCTTCATCTCTAATTCAACTTTCTCAATCCTAACATGACTCCAATATCAACTTGGGCTATTGGTGAGAATCCTTTTGGGCTTATTATTTTCTTGGCTCCTATAAATTAATAATTGGTCCGGTCCATTAAACCATGGACCCAATTCAATTAATTCATAAATTAATTTCTACTCCACTAAAAGAAATTAATTGCACTCCAATTAAATAGTAAATAACCTCTAAGTCAATGTTGCATTTTGACCCCTCTATGCTTAATTATTTATCGGATAATTAAAGTCATCAATCCGACAACATAATTATTATAACTATTTTGTTACCTTTGATTATTTCCGGCTCGATCACAATAAAATATTTATTTGACAAAAAATAATAATAATTTATTAAATAAATATATATAGAAAACATTTGTCTAAAACATACGAAGGCCTTCGAATTTAATTTGTGATCAACCATAATCAAAACAAAATAAATACAAATAGCACTGATGCAAATATTGAGAATATAGACCTCTAATTATTAATTACATAACTACCCAAAGTGTCGATCTAAGGATCCCGAGGTATCCGCCGAACAAATCAAAGTAATTATTAATTAATAAAAGAGTCTATACTTCTCTCATACTTGAGAGTCAAAAGCCATGACTGTGATAGAGAGCAATTGCATACGACAGCTCTCGCAATATATTTCAATCTATCGTGGACTCGGTTTAAGTCTTAACTAATTAAATGTCCATCCATAATTACCGACTTTAAACCATTTATGATTACTAATTTATATCATAGTATTAATTGCCATTACATACATATATAAATATATTTTGTAATCAAGCGGACACCATCAATTCCATAAAGAATCGAAAAATAATACATTCCATTCACCAATTGTATAATGCTTTAATAATAATATCCAGACAAGAAACCATGACTTTTACAATCCAAAATTAGAATTTGCTATGCTAGGGCACACATATCCTAACAGCTCCCACTTGCACTTATAGCCAATTCAAATCACATCTAACTCCCATGTTCTCCATATGACGATCAAACATCTTGATCGGTAAAGCCTTTGTGAATGGATCAGCAAGGTTATGTTCCGATGCAATCTTGGCCACAAGTATATCTCATCGCTTTACTATATCACGAACCACATGATGTTTCCTCTGAATGTGTCTTGTTCCTTTATGAAATTTTGGGTCCTTGGTTTGGGCTATAGCTGCACTATTGTCACAATGAAGCGTCATAGGCCGATCTATATGCTCCACAACCTCCAGTTCAATTAGAAAGTTTCTCAACCAAACAGCTTCTTTTGCTGCCTCAGAGGCTGCAATGTATTCTGCTTCCATGGTTGAGTCAGCAGTACAACCCTGCTTGACACTCTTCCAACTAACTGCCCCTCCATTGAACTTAAACACATATCCAGATGTAGATCTCCTGGCATCTGGATCTGATTGAAAATCAGAATCCGTATATCCGACTGGAACCAGATCATCACCTCCATAAATAAGCATTAGATTCTTAGTTCTTCTAAGGTATTTTAAGATATTCTTCACAGCTGACCAATGATCAAGTCCAGGATTGGACTGATATCTACTGACAATCCCTACAGAGTAGCAGATGTCCGGTCTGGTACAGACCATGGCATACATGAGACTACCAGCTGCCGAAGCATATGGTATCCGCCTCATTTGCTCAATTTCCTTATCAGTCTTGGGAGACTGGTCATTAGAAAGAGCCAACCCATGTCTAAATGGCAAAAACCATTTTCTTAGAGTTTTCCATTCCAAACCTGATCAGAACTTTATCAATGTAAGACTCTTGAGACAAGCCTATTTTCTTTTTAACCCAATCTCGCATAAGCTTGATCCCAAGAATATAACTTGCTTCTCCAAGATCTTTCATCTCAAATTTATTGAACAACCACCTTTTAACTGATGACAATGCTTCTACATCATTACCAATGAGCAAGATGTCATCAACATATAAAACGAGAATCATGATGACATTACCTGTTTTTTCTTGTAAACGCAAGGTTCAAACACGTTTTATTCAAAGCCAAATAATTTGACTGCCTGATCAAAACAAATTTTCCATGTGCGTGAAGCTTGCTTAAGTCCATAAATAGACCTATTCAACTTACATACACAGTCCTCACGACCTTTAACCACGAAACCATCTGGTTTCCTCATGTAGATGTCTTGTTCAAGATGGCCATTTAAAAATGCCGTCTTAACATCCATCTGCCACATCTCATAGTCATAATAATCACTAATGGCCAAAAGAATGCGAATAGATTGAAGCATTGCAACTGGTGAGAATGTATCCTCATGATCAATACTTTCACGTTGAGTGAAGCCTTTGGCAACCAGTCTAGCTTTGAATGTCTCAACATTCCCATCCATTCCTCTCTTTCGTTTGTAGATCCACTTACAACCAATGGGCTGAACCCCACTAGGAAGTTATACAATATCCCAGACTTTGTTAGAATACATCGATTCCAACTCTGATTTCATGGCATCTTTCCAACGATTCGCATCTCTATCGGTCAACGCTTCCGCATAGCTTACTGGGTCCAACTCATGCTTATCGGGGACGGCCTCATAGATCTCACCCAAAAGTGTGAGTTTTTCGGGTTGGATGATAGTCCTCCCACTACGCCGAAGGACCGGTGCAGGAATCGATGTACTAGATGATGGTAATTCAACAGGGACTTCTTGTGTCTCATCATTCTCAGTATTTATATTAGGTGTGTCCACTGGGGGTATATCTGACGTGCAACCATCTCCTCTAACACTATCTGGCTACTAGGTCTGTAGTTTATAATATAATCCTCCTCCAGGTAAACAACATGAGTGCTGACAATAACCCTATTGTCCCTGGGATCATAAAATAATCCACCTCTAGTGCCCTTAGGATAACCAACAAACAAGCATGCATCTGATCTTGCTTCCAACTTGTCTGCCTATTTCTTTCGCACGTGTGCTGGACACCCCCATATATGCATGTGATTTAAACTAGGTTTACGTCCAAACCACAGCTCATATGGCGTTCCTGAAACAGACTTGGATGGAACACAGTTCAAAATATACATCGCTGATTCTAAGGTTAATCCCCAAAATGATAGAGGTAATGTAGCAAAACTCATCATAGATCTAACCATGTTAAGTAAAGTTCTGTTTCTCCTTTCTGCTACTCCATTTTGTTGAGGGCAGTCAGGTGAGGATAACTGGCGCACAATACCCTCATTGACCATATGATCCTTGAACTCCCCCAAGAGGTATTCACCTCCTCGATCAGATCGAAGTGTTTTAATAAGTTTACCTAATTTACGCTCCACTTCCGCCTGAAACTCACGGAATTTTCCATAAGCTTCTGACTTGTGTCGCATTAGGTAAATATATCCAAAACGTGAATAATCATCAATGAAAGTGATGAAGTACTCAAACCCTCCTTTCCCTTGGGTGTTCATGGGACCACACACGTCTGTGTGCACCAACTCTAATTGTTCTTTGGCTCTATATCCTTTGGCTGAGTAAGCCCTTCGAGTCATCTTTCATTCAATACAGGATTCACAAGTTGGCATAGGCTCATCTGCCTCACAAGGTAATAAACCTTCTTTAACCAACCTTTGAATCCTATTTTGATTGATGTGACTCAATCGTAGATGCCAATGATACAATGAGTTTGGAGAAACTGCTTTTCTTTTAACAT